GACACGAGGTGATTATGTTTCTCAAGAGAACATTTGCTGTACTATTTATCGGTCGACGAAATATGATAAGAAATTCATATGTCAAGGGTACGCATTTGACACTTACCAAGCTGAAAAAAAAACTACAAAATCGCACAGAGGCTGCATCAATTTTTTTCCAAAAACATTTTATGCAGAATAACTGAAGAGAACGTGTGAAGAAACTAGTCAAAGACTTTTCTATGTATGAATAGTCAATGAGTAATGAAGAGATGCACAAAAACTGAAAAGAACGTATGACGTCCAGTGTTACGGAAATCAGCTTTGTTTAGGTTTATCCTCACTCTGAAAAATCTTTGTCTTTTCATATTTTTGAGTATAGTAGTTTTTCAATATAATTTTTTTGATTTGAATGAAATTTTTGCTACTTCGTGACTGAAATGTCAAAACGTTTTTGTCTGAATTGAGCAAACCTTACATTGAATCGTAAAAGATTTGACCGTAGTATTTGAACTTGAGAATTTATTTGGAGTAGGTCAGAACAGTGCCCCTGAGATATCATACACATTCATATCTTTTTTTTACTGCCTCCATCTTTCCTTCCTCAGCAATTATGATTAGAGTAGTGTATTTTGTACATATTTGCTAAGACACCTTATGTAGAACTAAAAACAGTTCGTTGTGGATTAGAAATTATTAAATGGATGTATTCATCCATTCTTGGTCATGCGTTCTTCAAGCGATTAGGAGTTTGTCTCACAAGGAAAGGATACTTGGTGATCGTGGCCATTTAGATTTACCATAAGATGCATCCTCAAAATCTGAATCTAGATCCGCGCTCGATATCTGTGAAACGTTCTTTTGAAGAAAGTTATGAACTTTTTTTTCGAAGGATATTGGCGGTACTTTCAAATAATTAAAATCACCAAATTTGTTCTATTTATCGTTTGAAGCTATTGAGGAGAATCTCAAAAAAATACTGTTGTAACCTTTGATTCAACTGACTTGGCTTCGAGAAGGCGGGGCTTGTGACCTGATTAAGGCTGCTCGCGCCCGCGACGCATCTGCGCTTCTCTCGGGCGAGTGCTCTCTGATCATTACCTAGCTTTAATTAGGTCACGAAGCCCCACCTTCCCGAAGCCAAGCCAGTTGAATCATATGGTACTTATACCTATCCAAATCATATTCAGCATTTGAATAATAAAGAGAATTTTCTAGTGATGATTTTGACCCCCTGCAGTAGCGCAATTCATTCTTGAAAAAATAATTATAACTCCATACAGGTTACCGTTTCGCAGATATGGAGGACAGTATTCGAACCACCCTTGAAAGGCGCATTTTGATATGCAAACTATTATGAATAGTCGCAATCACCAAGTATCCTTCCCTTGTTAGTGAAATCAAAACAACGGATCAGTGAAAGAATTTTGCTAGCCAAAACCAACCATACAAATCAAAAACCAGCGCCAAAAAGGGTTCAAAATGCTCAGTGACGGCGGCTTCAAAGAAAGATCCAGATGCTTGCTGAGTCACCGCATGAGCCACATTTCTTAATGGTTTTTGTGGTCACCATGTGCACTGATGATGCAAACGCCGCGATTGCGTCATCGGCTGCGGAATGAAGCTGAATGCAGAGGCAGCGAGGGAAGGAAGAAAATGTTACAGGGCACGTGGGCCCACATCACTGCCTACCTCCTTACTTCCTTCTTTTTCCGCAAACTATGGTTAATTGAAATCAAGCTGGAAAATGCAGCTCATGGAACGAATCACGCAATTTCAAGGCTTTAGTGACAAAATATAAGGGTAATTCTGAATATTTGGAGCTAAAATATGAGTCTTTGTCTTGAAAGCAACTCTCGTATACGTGTTCGGCCTAGCATGAGATATATCACTGTGTCTTATTGTAATCTAATGTTAGCTTCAAGAAAACAGCATCAGTTCGTAAGCAGCTTTTATTCGAGATGTACGTCGAAATTTTTTGGGTATAAATGGCCGTGATATAGTTTTGAACTAATTTTAACTAACTGGAATTGTCGATTACACCGAGATGGGTGACCGGATGCCTTTTCGGCGGCTTCCGCTCTACCTAGCCCTTCGATTACCTCAGGGTTCATCTTTCTCCTATGCATTAGGCCTCGGACAGAGTACACGCGATTTGATCGTCGCGATTCAATCGCCGCGATTCATTCATTTTCATTTTATATTCAAAAATTTCGAGCTGGAAAAGTATCACGACCGAATTGCAAGCTGGTCGGCATGCAATGAACTCGTAACAGTTGTCTTGTCGCGGTTGAATCGCGACGATCAAATCGCGTGAACTCTGCCCAAGGCCTTAAACATCCTGCGAGAGATCTTTATGTGAATAGATTGGTCTCCTAAACGACTCAAATAGAGCACGCATGCTCTAATCCTTAATGAATGAACTTCACCGTCCTTGTTCATATGACTATGGGAGAAATGATTGGGCAATGACTGATAAGCTTTCATTTTTCTAGATGTAAGTAAACAAACTAATAAAATCGCTAATAGTCTGAGCAAACAGCTTACAGAAGTAGCAGCCTTGGTACCGCGGTTTAATGTTGAGAAAATTTCACCCTCATAGGCCCATCACGAACGAACTTTATTCGGTTGACGCATCACACACTTTGAATTTTATTAAACCTAGCAAGCAATGCCGGTGTCACCCAAGACTTCAGGCTAACGAAACTAGTGTACTTACGCTTTCAAAGTTCTTCTTACCGGCACAAAAAGAGCTTTGAGACGAACCGCATCCGACCTTGAGGTTCAAATGAGCTTTTCCGCCTTGTTTACATCATTGTGGGAAAATGTTTGATTAGAGCATGATAAGCTTTTATTTTTTTAAATGTATTAGGCTGAAGGGGAAAATGGGACAGCTTGTTTTTTTATTTTATTTTTTGTTTTATTTTATAAATATGCTCATGGTGCATCAAAACAAAGATCAAACAGAAAATTCAAACAACAGCACATGAAACTAACCTAGATCTTTATTAGAATTTGAGAGTTTTTGGTTTTTGTTCCGATCAACAGCAAGAAGGCTGCAATTAAAAGTCGCTAACATACGCATCTTCGCTTAGTAGCTTTTTTTCTACAACCCTACACCGTACATAGGCGCCGAAGTCGAACAGGGATTTTTTGAGCATCTCTTAATCTTGCGCTGCTATATCATAAAGTCATAAAGCAAGGTATACCATTCGGAAGAACTCTTTATACTTTTTCAAATGATCCATTGAATATGTATTATTCCTTTTTATTTCCAGATGGAATTTTTGAAAAACTTGAAAAATTGCACTGATTTGGCGCAATAAAAATCAAGAAATTATGTTTCAACCTATATCTTCCGAAGAGGGACGAAAATTGAATTAAGCTGCGTATGTCCAGATAGAGCGTAACTAGGTCTATCAGATATAGCCAGATAATATGCGTTCACTTGCGAAGAAGTAAATAACCTGCATCTCCGTCCCAGAAAATGCTGATGACTATATCTCCTGATTTTGACCGTTGCGGCCAGCAAGTCATGGGTTTGATGGCTGTACCTTCATCCATTGCAGCAGTGGTACTCTGGTTAGTCTCACATTTTTCACTGCGCAGATACTGCTCGAAGTTTATAATTTGTCGAGTGACTAACTTTGCATTTCAGCAAGTATAAAAATTATTATATAAGTTGATGACTTTTCATAGGTGTTGTCTAAAAGAGATCCCTTACACCTATATAGATATATAGATGATGAGGGACGAAATATCTTAGTTTTCACGGTGATATACGACATATTCTAACATTCATCAAAAAAGTTCAATCACTTTTCTTTCTTGAGAAATCTACAGTTATTCTCTGCATTTTATACCGTGCGTCCTAATAAGTAAACCAATCAATAAATCGATAGGAGGGCTCAATATATCGCCGGGAGTAACCTATGATTTTTGCCGTGGTTGAAAACATGTGTCTGCATTCAGTCAAGATGTTCAGAAGCGGGCGTTCCCATAATAGAATTTTCTAACAAAATCTGAATTCTATACATATAGATGTATAGATGATGAGGGACAAAATATTAGTTTTTACAATGGTGATATAAAGTCCGTGATGTTTGCGTACCATTAGCCCCCCCCCTCAAGGAATTTTTTAGGATACTTCTAAGCGTTTTAGTGGACTGGGCATAGAACCAGCTACTTTATGAAAATTTTTTGAGAAATCAATTTGATTTTTGGAGATAGTCCAATTATTTACAAGTACAAACAAATCGATTGCACACTTTTATAACTCATCTGGGTGACTAGTGCGAATCTCGAGACTATTTGCGCCCCTCCACACACCCGGCTCGCTGCTGGACTGAAGAAAGTGAGGAAGGAGAGCTATTATTGGTATCACGTATAGTAAAAGTTCAGCAAACATCACTATTTATGTACCCTGTTTTCAGGTGTATAAGCCGCACCCTTTTCGCTCTAAAGGCGAACACGCCAAAAGACTGGCTGTTACCATGGGGCGCGTTAAGTGAAAGCAATGTGCGAGAAAGCGACCGCTTTGCGAGACACGTGCGCAGCGGCACGCCTGGGTCTGCTCGCGTTTAGAGCAAAAAGGGCGCGGCTTATACACCTGGAAATAGGGTAAGATTTCTATCAAGCCTTATCGCGTAGCGTACTTTTCTAAATTCTTTTGACAGCAACCCAAAACTCCTGTAACCTTCTGGCACTACTTTGCTGCTTTTTCTTTTTGCTAGGCACCCAAATCAGAGCATAACCTGACTCATTCTGAAGAAGAACCAGGAAGTCCGTTTCAGAAAGTGAGCAGCTTTCGAAGGGCGGACCCTATCACACTGAAAAACAAAGTCACGGTGCTTCCCTGTTCAGGTTCGAACAAAATTTTTTGGGAAAATATCTTTTTTCGTTAACATCATAACAGCATGATCTTATATAACTTTTTTAAAATTATTAGTCATGGTCTGTTACAAGTTTTACTGTACACTTTATTCCGCATATTTTATCTTTTCATAGATAATATGCTTGTCCAGAGTTGCCGAGGATCTTCCAGTTCATCAATTATTAACCTTGAGTTGACTCATCCTTCCTTGTTGCTCTAGTTATGAGAGTGAAAGCTGCCGGTTGATCGGTAGCAACCGCATAAAACAGAACATTTGCCTGAGGAAAGTGACTGGGTTGTTGCAAAGAATTCTAGCAATACACTCACAATAATAAGAAAGGTTCCTTGTAACCAATAGGCGTAGCGCCACTCGTTGTAATTACTTTCATCTTCTACGAATAGCCAGAACAAGCCAGCCGCAACAAACATGCCGACGCATTTCATAAACTGTATCACCGTAACTAACACATGTGAATACTGCCTAGTAAAAAATTACGAACGTTAATCCGAAAAAATTTATGTTTTTTTTTTCAATTGTAAAAAGACCGCGGATAGTTGTGAACTAGGCGCAGTCAAATTTATGTATAGCATTGAGATCATTTGGAGGCCATTGAAACGTACAGGATAGGCCCTAGCGGTTTTATTTTAACACCTTCAACACAATCAAAGGCAGCATCCGGGCAAATACGAAAATGTAGAGTACAGGGGCGCCCGTCCTGGTGAGGCTCTTGTTCAACTGGCAATGCATCAATTTGCTTCTGAAACGAGAAAACCGCTTCAGAAGTGGCGACCGGAACCCTTGGAGACAGGGACGAGTTAATTCGATGAGCCAGAGTGAAGATACCGCACACAGTCAAGATATAGGGCCCCACAAAGACTTTGCGTCTTAATCTTGGCGGCAGGCGACAAAATTCAAATCAAGAGCTTCTGGAAAAGCCTGTTTCCGGCGTTTTCATGCCCTCCATGCTGCATTTTCAGAATCAGCGGGAGGAATAAGCCCAGGTAAGCGAAGAAAATTTCATTCAAATTTTCCAAATTGATAGGCGAGGGATTCGCGTCAACATCGTAATTGGCTGCCTAAGTCGATCAGTCAATTACCGCCAGAATGGGTAGAGTTGCAGTATCTTGCAGCCAGTCGCTGTTTATGGCGGGGATTTCTCGCTCATCCCCTCTAGCTATCTTCACGGTAAGAAAACGCTGTACTAAACGCGCTTTTTTGACTTTCTAAGCGCAGTATTAGTACTAGGCTCAGATCCAGGCATGTAAGTAAGGGAAGCTCGTAGTAGCGCTTTGTCTTTCGACCCACCAGTGGGTCGTACTGTTCGAAATGATAGTCTTTTTGAAAGAAATCTAAAAAATGTCTCCTAGAATTCCCCCACAAGGGTTATCGAAGGCGCTGGTACCAAAATATGATTTCTTTTAGTTTTTGGCGGTATACGGTAAGGTTACGGTAGCCATTCTGTACGAACCTAATATCATGGATTTTCGTGAAAAATTGTGTTTTGGGGTATGTCACGTCAGAAAAACACTTTTGTAAACACTGTCAAACTTTTCTGCCTCTTCGAGGAAGCTGAAAAATTCAATTTTTTATGATAGCGTCTCAGATTTTTACCATGAATTCTGACTCGATTTTTCCATATGTGTTTGCCAAACTTAGAGACCACTGAACCAACAAAGAAATCTAAGACACTATTTTATAAAAAGGAAAGTAAGAAATTTTTTCAGCTTCCTCAAAGAGGCGGAAAAGTATGTTACTTGATTTGTTTTATGTATTCCAAAACCGGAAAACGAAATCAAGTTTTCGTTTTTGTATTAAGAGTCTAAGTCTACATTGCTTCAAAAGTTTTGCAGTAGCTTGCAAACAAAGATTTTTTTGACGCTAAATTACAGCCGACAATAATGCAAGTTTGTGTTGAAATTTATGTATTTAGTTTTCAAAAAATTATGAAAGTTTTATCTAGCCTGTATTTGTAACACAATTCTTTAATTCTTACTGTCCTCAAGGTTTTAGCACTCTTGCAAAGTTTTTGACATAAAATATAAAAATTTCTTAGCTGGATTTTTTGACCAAAAATGTTAATACTGGATCTCTTCTCTTTCGAAGTACAGTATCTCAAAACGAACCCATTCCTACAGAATGAAATGTAACCATAAGAAACTAGAAAGAAGGCGCTTTTAAATGGTAAACAAAGTTTTCTGTTAGATACGTTTTCTTCTTTGTAAAAAGCATTTCAAGAAAAGAGGGTGGGAAGCTATAGTGATTGTGGTTCAACTTAATAAACAATCAGGGACCCACAAAAAAACCTTTACTGGAATGGCTTAGAAGCCATATGATGGCTTCTATGTTTGATGAGCACGAAATAAGCACATCAAAATCTGAAATGAAAGTACTTTTATTTTCCAAACGCCGCGTGTAGTACGTTCGCGCATAATGATTATATGCTCTGTTTTTGAGCGGCATCCTATACAAGGTCATTAGCTGCTTTTTTGAAGCACATAAATTCACCATGAGCATAATCGAATCATGTAAAGTACCTCGCGTATAAAGTTCCGCATTTGTAAAATGCTCCTGCAGTCAATGCCATGACTGTATTGTCTAGAGCGAACATGGCAAAGCCAGCCGTGGGCCAATCAGGAGGAAAAACCCCAATCAATAGAATGCATAAACCGGCTACACCTATAGAGATAGTATTGAAAAACCACATTTTGTATCGTTCAGAAATGATGCTGAAATGCTGGGATTTATTCAAGTGATTAAAGACATTTGAACCTTACTTTAGTCGGTCACTGATAATTCCGCTGACAAGCTTGAGTGGTAGGTGAATGGAAGATGCAACCGAGGAAAGTGTGCCTAAGTAGATCAACTGGTTAATCAGGGTTTTCTTCCTGTCGGAGCCTCTAGCGTGCTACACATTTTCTACTGCATTAACTGGTACTTACCCGCAACACCTACGTCATATTTGAGTACCTTCCGAAAATAGAGTGGAGCATAGGTCAATACAAATGTGAGGGCTGTCATGCAGCAAAATGCATTTAACCATATTATTAACACCACTCTGTCCAAGATAATGTCCTTGAAAAATGTAAACTTTTTATGATCGAAACAGTTGATTTGAGCACCTTATATGGAACAAATGTGTCTCCCTCAACATGCTCCTTTGTTTTCCCTTTTCGTATGCATGCCAGTTCTTTCTTCGTAATGATGTGGTGTTTTTGGGGGTTATCTGCGTAAAGCAGTACCCAAAGTAAGAATATTATCAAGCCAAACATAGCATGAGCGTAGAAAGCCATAGGCCAACCGTAAGTTTTGCACATCTAAAGGAAAGAGATGTGATTTGAATACTATTTCGATCTTACCAACCCAAGCAGCGACAGGATTTGTAATCACTGCAGAGACAGGAGTGAAGCTTGTCAGGACGCTAAGGAAAATGCTCATTTCAGTAAGTGCAGCCCATCGAACACATATTAGTCCAATAGCTCCAAAATTTCCAGAAAACGCTAATCCCTAAAAACACGTTATATTGTTCGCTTCAAAACATTCAGCAGATGTTTATTTCATATAGATGCGAAGACTAATACTGAGTCGGTAAGCCTACACTTTAGCTTCTGTTGCCATGTGAAGTTAATTGAAACAAATCGACGAACAATCTCTAATCGTTTTACCTGCGTAAATCTCAGCATCATTAGTGCTCCTAGGTTGAACACAGCAGCTGCTGGTATCATCGCTGTGGCTAAAGCAGATACTACTCCCGCTACAAGAAATGGCCATCTGTAAGACAGTCTCTTTCGAAAACTTCAACAAGTTTAGGGTGCACTTATATTGCGCGGAAGGCCGCTAGCAGCCCGTAGCAGCCACCAGCAGCCTGCAGCAGCCCGTAGCAGCCAGCAGCAGCTGCCAGCAGCCCGTAGTCGCCGCGGGCCGCCTTTTTTACAGTGGCAAGAAATCATCAAATTCTTATTACTTTGAGTACCGGCCTGAGCTTCTCATCTCCCACGCTTTTTCCTTCTTGTTGCCGCCAGTATGCAGTTCCATCTCATACACCATACCTGTGTCCATTGTTGTTATCTTGTTGACGTAAACTGGTTATCTTAGTGGTGCTCAATTTTCCTCTTGCAGCTGAACCACAGCTCGCCTGTTTTTCGCGTTGTGACTTCTCTAAATTTGGAGGCGTCCAGTTTATTTAGATATCTATTTGTTTATCTTTGAGTACGATTCTGTTTCAACCTTTCCCTTGGTTTATCTTGATTATCTCTGTAATGTCTAAGAGTTAAACTGCACATTAGCAGCGATAGGAGAAAAGAAGCATAGAAGATGAAAAGCGAAGGCGGTCCACTAAAGTAACATTTGACAACTTGCTTGGCACCATTAGGGCGAAGTTTTTGGATCTAATTGAGGCCGCTCGCGCCCCCGACGCACCTGTGTCTCTCTCGCGCGAGTGCTCTCTGATCATGGCCTAGCCTTAATTAGGTCACGAAGCCCCGCCTTTGCCGATGCCAAGCCATTTGAATCAAATGGTAGTAAGAATTTGATAATTTTCCCTTTCCATGAACAAAAGCGGCCAGCGTCTGCTACGGGATGCTAGCGGCGACTGCTGGGGCGGTATGAAGGCATTCTTGTCAGAGTGTCCCAATAATGTGCATTTGCTTGGTCGTCAACCCCTCCTGCTACAGAGTCTCTTACTGTTTTATAGGTATCGTTTGTAGAGCTAGCTTCAACTTGGGTTTGCGGTATAGAACAAACCTCCAGTCATTCCTTACTGTGGGAGTGCATGAGGAACGTTGAAGAGGGCCTGGAGTCATTGAAATCAGCATTTGGTCTTAGAAGTGAAATCAAATGAGCCAAAACTCCTATGCTATGACAATTGAAGTCAATGAAGCCTGATGTACTTAATGGTGCTTGAAGCTAACAATGGAAGCGTGTTTGTCCAAAGTAGCCATTTCAGTAAGACACATACTGCTTTGGGGAACATTGCACAATGCAGAATACAAGTAAAATCAATTGTTACAAATTTTTCAGCGCTCAGATAAGGCAAAGTTAAGTATCAGCACATTAGAGCGTAATGCATAAACATTGCATAAACTGCTGTACTCGAAACTGGACCATTTGAGTGACCACAGTGATTCCAAATCTGCCTTCGTTATCTGCCAAGCGCCTCTGGGCGCCGATTAATGAGCTTTTTTTCAGGTTAAAGAATGAGCGCAAAACTGGAACAATTGCCCGAATTTGCTCAAATGGTCCAGTTTCGAGTACAGCAGTTTATGCAATGTTTATGCATTACGCTCTAATGTGCTGATACTTAACTTTGCTTTACCTGAGCGCTGAAAAATTTGTAACAATTGATTTTACTTGTATTCTGCATTCACTTTTCGTTCCAGAACGGTCATAACTCGGCCTTCAAAGGCGTTGGCAGATTATGAAGGCAGATTTGGAGCCAATGTGCACTGCTCTTCAAAGTGGTATGGGTCTCATTTAAAACGCCACTTTGACTAGAAACGCTTCCCTTGTAAGCAAGAGTTTGTAAGAAAAAAGTTGTAGACGATCAAACAGGCACCTTATTTGGTACATAATAGTTATAATAGTTAATCATAAAAACTGAAATAGCAACAAGTGTCGGGATATTGCGCCAACAAAATAACCATGGCATATGTATTGGGAGCATGGCTGTGAAAAAAGTATATTACTCATTCTGTAACTATGCCAACCGCACTCGTGCAAAATGTGCCTGCTTACATTCCAAATAACAACAAAACAACTGAGAGTTTACTGACTCATTGTGTGGCAGTGCAACCTTTGCATAATGAGGAAAACGCTGCAAAAACATGTGGCCCTTAGTAACCCTTGAAAGGGGTCAGCTTAATTAAACTGAGTCGACCCTCGTTAGAAAAGCGACTACCACCCTCTATGCTTTGAGATGGCAAGATCAATTTTCGAAAGACCTCGAATCGAAAATGGCGTTCAGTTTAGCGCGTGAGTCAAAGTTAGGTCATAACTTAGGCAATCGTCGGAATAAGACCCAGAACATGCGCGTTGTATTTGCGCTCCGCTCGCAAGCAGAATACCGAAGACGCTCTTCCTGATGCCGCATGTTGATCTCTTTCTCCGATTTTTTGTGGACAGATCGCTGCTTTATTATAAAAAAATCAACGAGGTTTGTAAGAGCGCTTTATCAATTGTGTGAGATTTTGCGAGATGTGCACAGTCACCTATTTTTTCGATGCCCGCCTACCCGGTCGGTTGTAGGAGAAGTTGAATTGACGGACATAGTGTGCAAAAGCGGAAAGTCAAAGAAAAATCATGCAAAATGGCTCGTGAGTAACTAACTAGGCGGGCAAACTGACGTAACGCAACGAGCGACATATGCGCAAACTGCACACTTGCAAGCTATAGCTGGGTTCATATTGATCCGTATGTTTCGAAACAGTTCCAGCAGAGCGCTCGAAGGGTTCCTTCATACTACGCCGCAGGACGCGGCAGCCTGCCGCGTGCGCCGCGTACGCCGCAGCACGCAGAGTACGCTGCTGCAGTCGTGGCGAGAATACGCCTACGGCAGCACACTCTGTCTATTACTGTATTTCTATATCCGCTACTCTCTGCGTTTTCCGAGTGTTCATAGCGAGACTGTGCGCCATCGTATTTTCACTGCGAGCAGCGTACGCAGCGCACGCGGCAGGCTGCGGCGTCCTGCGGCGTAGTATGCAGGAACCCAAACTACGCGCTTTGCTAAAGACTGTTCCGGAAAAAAGCAGCATGAACCCAGTCTAACGGATATACAGGATCAGACGGATAGACAGGATCAATGAATAGCTGAGCAGCCACGACTAGCAAATAAAGCTTTCTTTTCTTTGCAGAAGATGACCATTTTTCACTATGAAACTGTCTGAAATAAAAAGAGAATTTTTTTTACTTATTGGGATTGATTTTTGACAGTTGTGATTTCACAAGTATCTATCAGGTTGTAACATAAGTCTTGAGACACTGTAACTTCTTACGGCGATAAGTCATGCGATTCACATTTTTGATAGGGATCGTGGGTATCCATAGGGCCAAGCAAGCTCTACAAGATGGGGGGCGAAAGTTCGCCCCAGCTTCGACCTACTTAAGTTTGCATCCAAAATGGAGTCGCACTAAAAGCTCAGAAAATCGCGAAAAAAATCACATCTTCGTTCAAAAAAATTCTATGACTCCAACTTGCTCACAAAAATTGCACACTACATCAAACATTCACGTGTATCGTTGCTATATTTTTTCCCCATCTAGAAATTGAGAAAACGAAAATTTTCCTGTTTTTACAAAAACGGAGCTATTGCACTGCTATTGCAAATTTGCATTTTCATGGGGTGTTTGATGCTAAATTAGGTAATTTTCGAAAACTAGGAATTCTAAAAAGCTTTTCTCAACAGACTTAAGGTAACACTCGATAGAGGGGAGCAAGCTCTACAGAAAGACCACCAAAGATTCACCCAAGTCGTAATCCAGGTGACATTTAGAGCAAAAATCAAAATTTTTCAGCTACTAAAAATCGGATCTCCTTCCAGAAAATTCCTAAACACTTCCACTTGGTTTTTATATAGTAGACATATAATAGTAACCAAAAAGTATTTGACAGATTTTTTTCGGGGCTTAAAATTGAGAAAAAAGAGGATCACTTTTTTTCGGGTTTTTTATGTAAAACTTGGTATTTTTCGAATATAAGAGCACATACAGGGGTAAGTTTTTGAAATAATACTCAGTAATAAGGCTTGTAGTATACAATGACATATGTGGGAGGGGCTGGGGTTGAGTTCTCCGTTTTGGACAATTTTTGTTTCTCGCTTTCTAAGCTTGGAAAAAATTCGTTAAAGGCATATTTGAGTAATAATATGTGCCTACTATTTAATGACCAAGTTGGAGGTCTGTAGGATTCTTGATCGCAAAAATCCAATTTTTTGGTGACAAAATTTTTTCCGATTTTGGCTGCGAACTTTCCACGGAATGCGGCTTAGGTGGATCCTTGGTACCTATTTTGTAGAGCTTGATCTGCTCCATCGAATGATACCCTAAGTTTATCGGGAAAACAAAACAGCCTGAATCACTCAAAAAAGGAGTTTACTTTTGGGACAACCTAATAGAAACTTAGGAATTGGACCACATGAGTAAGAATTTGCTTAAAGAATCTGCTCAAAGTCTTCAGGCGCCACCCAAATGCGGTGATTCGATCGACATAGAGACGCGCGCTGCAGGCGATTGTAGTAAAGACTTTTAGTAAAGTATCGATTTGCGAAAAGAGGTAGCACCACGGATTTCTTAATAGTGCGGCTAGCGTTTTAGATAATGAGGATATTGACGACCATTGCAGATAGTTAGTTGTCTGCCTTCTGGGACCCCACGCGGTAGTCATTGCTTGACACACCATGTGTGTTAAGGCTACGTTCATACTGATCCCGAAGTTTCGGGAGCAGTTCCAGCACAGTGCTCAAACTGAACGCGGTGCTGGGACTGTTCCCGGATTTCGGGATCAGCTCAGACAATCGCTGGGGGCAGGCGGGCACCGGAAAAATAGATTGCTGATTTCTCGCATCCCGCTCGCGGATTTTTTGCAAAGCAATCAGGACTTTTCGGAAGACCGCTTGCTGAGTCAGCGGATTTTTGAGAGACCGCCTGTCGAATTTTTTTCGCTCTTATCTTTTGCAGATATATTGCTGAATCTCTAAGGAATCGAGAACTCAGCAAGCGGTCTTCCGAAAAGTCCTGATTGCTTTCCAAAAAATCCGCGAGCGGGGTGCGAGAGATCAGCAATCTATTTTTCCGGTGCCCGCCTGCCCCCGGCGATTGTCTGAGAGTATAAACGCAGATAAGCGGTCTGCGGTCAATTATAGTTGATCTTGATCAGCTTGTTCCTCTTCATGTAAACGCTAATTTTCTATTCTCACTACTCAATATTTCGGCTTTGCGTACGCCGAGATTGAACCGAAGTGTTGATTCAATTTCGGCGTATGCGGCGTCCAATGACAATTGGTAAGGCGCGTTTTACACGAAGAGGATCAAGCAGATCAAACGGATTAAGCGGACCGAAGGTGTTATTTAGGGCGTATGTCTAATCGTAAGTACCATCGGCTCCCCGATTGCTGCGAGGGCGGCCGCGATGATCAATCGATAATCAATTCATCAGCTACGCTTCAACACAGAGCAACCGCATCGCTGATACGCTCGCCTGGATCCGCCCTCGCGGCAATCGGGGAGCCGATGGCAATCACCGGCTAAATATTCATCCGCTGTTCTATCGCCTTTTCTACGTTCTTATTAGCGATGTCATGTGTTGAAACTCCTCCCAAACATCCCGATCCCGACAGCACTTAAGCACAGTTTCCTATTTCTATATACTGCAAACTCATAAAACCCAAGTATTTTGTTCAAAATGGGTCAATATAGAATCGCAAAATAAGACGTCCGTTCTTACTTTGCACCATACTGTGTATAAAAGTAGTTGATTGGAATTGATCCTAGCAGTGTTCCCAGTGGTACGGCCCAAATGACTGCGCTTTTCTCTGTTGGAGTGTAGTCAATAGGAGGGCTCTGGAAATGTAAAGGAAGTGGCACACAGTGTTGTATAGTTTCCAAAGTGTAGTTTTGACTCACTTTACCACTACCAGAGTAGTTTTTTGAATAATCACTTGACATGCATATGAAAGTGAAGTTGATTATAGTATGATTTGAATTTACCGACAGAAGACAGAAAAAACCAATTGTGACAACCAAGTAGCGAAAGCTATTGCGCCACCATGTCCACATACGCATCTTAGCGCAAAGTAATAATCATATACATCTTGGTGGTAAGCTTTATCGTATTTGAACCAAGCGATCATATGGAAATGAACAAAGCCAAGATCGTTCAGGGCAATAAATGTTCCGTAAACATCTTTGGAAGACTGACAGAGTATTGGGGCAAAAATCGTGTATGTTGTATGGTTGGCAGTCGCAGAAGAATGAATAATTCACACCGCGACAAAGAAAAACAAAGTTCATTGCATTCATATGGCACCTGCCATACTTGATCCTCTTGATCCGCCTAATCCACTTGATCTGCTTGATCCGCTTATCCGCTTAGTGCAAAACGCGCGCACTTAGCAGTCTGTCATTTGGCGTCGCGTACAGCGAATTTGCTCAACCATACGAGATTCCTTTTTAACTACGCGGTGCCAAATGACGGACTGCTGAGTGTGCGCGTTTTGCACAAGGCGGATCAAGCGGATCAAGCGGATCAAGTGGATTAAGCGGATCAAGAGGATCAAGTATGGCAGGTGCCTATTAAAGCAAGATTCTTTATGAGCACTACCAGGTTGCTGCAAAAATTTTGTCCGATTTTGTTGCCTTGTGTTTGAAGCAACTTTTTAAAGAAAAATTTCGTCTTCTTTATCTGTAACACCAGCAAGCATTTTTCTTGCTCTTTCTAATGCATTTAGAATCTCAATAGATTCCTTAGTCTAACGAAATTACATGCTTAAGATCCCAGGTGACCAAGACACGGTCTCACCCAAAGAATATGTTCTTGCACGAAAATCTCCACATTGCTCCTCCCTCCCCCTCCTCAAGTCAAATCCTTAAAGGCAGTGTCCGGGCAAAAACTCGATTTTGAGATTTTGTGCTTACTTGGGCCTATTCGCTACGCTGAATCCGAAAATGCACATTGTAGAGCGCGAAAATGGCGGAAAACGGCTCTAACACAGGAGGGAAATGAGCAGGTGGGCGGGGTCCTCCCCACTGCGAATTCACGTTCCCGGCTTCTGGAGCGACCTTCTCGCTTCTAGTTTCAAGTCAATCATTCGCACTTGACCGGTGGCGATGTTAGGACGGCTAGCGAAATCGAGAAAATCGCTCCAGGAGCTGGGAGCGTGAAATCGCACTGGGGAAAGCCCCGCCCACCCGCTGATTTCCCACCTGTGTTAGAGCCCTTTTTCGCCCTTTTCGCGCTTTCTAGTGTGGATTCTCGGATTCAGCATAGCGAATAGGCTCGGGTAAGCACAAAATCTCAAAATCGACTTTTTGCCCGGACACTGCCTTTAAATTGGTCGCGGAGTAAGGGTGTAACAGTCAGTAATCGAATCTTAAATATAAGCTAAATGTCTGTTTGTTTGTGTGTGTGTCTATAGGTATGTTCCGAATAGAAGTAAAGGCTGAAACAGCCGATCATAACGTCGGTACTCAATATTTGAACAAGTTGTAAAGTTGTAAAGGTAAGTTGTAAAGGTAAGTTGTAAAGGTCAGTAAAGCTGCACACTTGATCATTGCGAGATAACACGGTTGTACTTTGCTATCTTACAATGTCTCAAAAGGATGCAGCTACATGGTAACTGTTCGCAGCCACTTGTTTGTAACATTCTTGGAAGGTTCATTCACTTAGAAACTGCTATGCTTCTATTACAAATAAGGTATTCTTATGTGCTCCACATACTCTTGCATTTAAAGGTGATTCCTCAAAGCTCAGCAAAAACTGTGGATACCATGAAAACTCCTCCGAATGGTATCAACATCCTGCACTTCCTTCTTTTACAGGCTTGATTAAGTGCATTCAAGTCATAGCTGATCACATTGCACCGTTAGGAGTTATAAGACTGCTCAATCTTCGCGTGACTGATGTTGTTCCTCTTGATCATCAGAGAACGCACTTACATATTATCCAGGAGTGCAACCCAATACCCGCAACTGCTTCATATGATTGTAAATATGTTGTAGGTCGAAAGAAAGGGACGCCCTATTGAGCTAAATGTCTGTTCGTCCCTACATGTTTATGCGTCCCAAATGAAAAATTGTCTATGAAACAATCCGAAGCATAACACAGTCATTCAAACAATACACTATGGGAGGAGGGCGTCATAGCCTGCTACTCAGCATCAACGATATCACTCAAGAATGCAGCAAACATCTGTGAGGAGAACCCTTGGCTATCAGGGGTAGTCAACATGCTTATTACAAAACATCGTTCATCTTCGGAATCGACGGTTGCCTTCATCAACTTTATCGATATTTGCAACTTAGCTGCGATTGTCACAAGGGAGTAAGTGAGCAATTTTTCAAAATTGATGTTTTCATTGCTTTCACTAATCTTGTCAGCCGGGCTTGCCAACAAGTTTTGATTAGAAGGACGTGAGCAAGACACATTTTTTATTTCAACATTTAATACACTTCAGATATTATTGGCAGCATTGGGTGAAGTGTTTGATGTAGAAACCAGATTGGCATTGAAGAGATTAGCATAATTACAAATTAGGGTTGCGAATGCATCCGTCAACAGTTACGATCCAAATTTGGGAAAAGTTTCTGAATTTGTCCATTTCAGAGTGGTTATAGTGATAGGGGAGGAAGAGCAAGACCAAATGAGCCTGCTTATCTTAAAAAAACGTAGTAATACTGGGGAGCTTGCTACATAGCATTCTCTTCTTGTTTCTTATGAGGGGACATTCTGAAAACATTTCGAAGTTCCGTTTGCTATTTTTACTGTTTCTTTTCAAAGTTTTTACGTATATACCATTCGCATAGCATTGCTCAATCAGAAAGAAAACTTTATGAAATTATATCACTGACGATTTTGATCGTTGCAATTTTTTACATTTCCAGGAACTTATTAAGAGACGAGATACGCATTTCCCCACTTGCTCGCTTATAGAAAACGAACAAAAAGGTATTGCAATTTTTGAAACTTCTACTTTAATAAAAATTCAAATAGAGTCACAGAACTTTTGAGGCGTATGTTATATTGAAAACTTGTAATCTGACGATTATGAGTCTGTAAATCCGCAAAATATCCAAAACCTTTGCACTGCTTCCTCATTTCTATATCGCAGCACTTCCAAAAATTCCGGTTACTGGTTTTTTGTGGTAATCATCTACTATTATGATTTCTTGTCACGTCCATAAATCGATAACATCCTTTAATTCGTAAAATTCACTAATTAATACATTACATCCTCGTGACACTGCAAAAACTTTCAGCTTTTTTTCGCTGAGCCTGCCTTGTGGCCCTCGTTATGCTAGTGAAAGCCGCCGGTTGATCAGTAGCTATGATGTAAAACAGCACATTGACCTATAAGTAAAAGGCAGTTTTTTTTGTAGAATAGAAAAACTTCCTCGATTAAAAGCACTCACAACGATGAGACAGGCGCCTTGCAGCCAGTAAGTATAACGCCACTGGTTGTAACTGCTCTCGTCATGCACAAATATCCAAAATAGCCCGGCTGCCACAAACATTCCAACGCACTTCATGAATTGTATCACGGTAAGGACTACGTGGGAATACTGTCTGAAATTTCAACATTATTTAATTACTTGTTTTTGACAGAAGTTTTTTTCTTCATGGTACTACAATTCATCGCCTTGCACGGCTTCACGTGCGCTATCACACACATTCTGATAAGGAAAACACATAACATAATCCAAAATGTCTCCTTCAATATCGTTTCTAGCAACGCTCTCGATGAAGTAAAATCTGAGATTTCTATTCTATGTATACAGGGTGGCCCATATGAAGTGCAATTTGCAAAAATTTCCTTAACTTTGCTGGAACTGCATAATCACAAGCTTTTGTTCTCATCTGACAAGCTAGAAAATGCCTTCATAGAATTTTACAGTTTACTTTCAAGATGCCCGCCTCTGTCATTGGAAAAAGATTTTAGTGTTCTTTTGGGAAATTTTCACGATGCGCGCTTTTTTGGCAGGATTTCGAGCACAGCTCTCATCAGGTCTCCTTTAGGAGGAGCAGTTTCTGCTTCCAACCAGGCCAGAGAAAGAGCAGGGTTAGGAAAGCGCGAGTTAAAAGGCCAAACAAAATCTGTTTAAATGTGTTCCACTTGGAGCTTGACGGGCTGACCTTTCTAGTTTATTTGATGCCATGTCTCAACAATAGCCGTCTTCCACTCATTCTCTTGTCGCATTGTGGTTTTCGACTTCGGTTCTTGGTTTGATCTAGCTTGATGCTATCAACAGCAGTCGCTACGACCCTCAAATCACTCAAAATTTTGAGAAAAGTATTAGAAGCAAACTTTGGGAAGCTGTTAATTTCTTGGGTCAAAGCAAACGTTATGGACCCTGCCTAGAATCTTTTCAGCATAATCAGGCCTAGTGATTCATGTTTTCGACAGTTGAAAAAATAATTCTAGCCTTTCAAATTTCTTAATGTAAAAGAAATATGGTGAGAACTTGGGGAAACCACTGCGCACAGTTTGAAGAATTTTTGGTAGAAGCGCTTTTACCGAAACCAGAGGGGGCCCCTCAAAACTGATTTAAAGAATCTTACACAAAGTGCTTGTTCCAGATGAGGCCAAACGTTTCTGTTTTCACTCAGCCTTCCAAAGTTATGAACATTTTCTTGCGTCACATTTCACGTGGACCACCCTGTATAAACAAGTTGACCTGTAACCTATGGAATATTTGGATTTTCACAGAAGCTAACGCTTTTAATGCGTCAACCGCATGTGAAAATAAACTTGTTTTTGATTATTCTGTGCCATAGCGATATGGATATACCTTGCATATAAAGTCCCACATTTGTAGAATGCTCCTGCATTCAAGGCCATCACTGTATTGTCCAGAGCGAACATGGCAAAACCAGCACCAGGCCACCTTTGTGGGAATATACCAACTAATAGTGTGCATATACCAGCTATCCCTACAGAGATTGTGTTGAAGAACCACATCTTGTACCGTTCAGAAATAATACTATAACATCTGACCGTTATATACAAGAAAGGATACAGGATACCATGCTTACCTTAGACGATCACTGATTATTCCACCAGCGAGCTTGATTGGCAAGTGAATGGAAGACGCAACCGAGGAAAGCGTGCCTCAACAAAAAGCATTATAGCTGATATATATAAAAGTAAATGCCTGAATGATGATATGTTCTTACCAGCAACGGAAACATCATACTTGAGAACCAAACGAAAGTACAGCGGAGCGTAAGTCAAAACAAAAGTGAGAGCTGTCATGTATACGAAAGCGTTCAGCCATACAATCAAAATCACCTTGTCCAGAATGACCTCCTTAAATTTCCGTCGGACATATCGAGAGAAGTAACCTTATTTTTGTAGTACTTTGTATGGCACAAAGCTGTCTCGCTCAATATGCTCCTTCGTTTTTCCTTTCTGTATACGGTCGAGCTCTGTCTTTGTAATAATTCTATGAGTCTGCGGATCATCTGTATAGAGCAGTATCCACAATAAAAACATTATCAAACCAAAACCCGCATGAGTGTAGAAGGCTAATGGCCAGCCATAGTCTGTGCACATCTGAATAAATTACACATTGCAAGGAGCAGCATACAACACTGTACTTACACTGTACTTACCCAAGCTGAGACAGGATTTGTAATTACTGCTGATACAGGTGTGAAGCTTGTCAAAATACTGACAAAGATACTGATTTCATTCAGAGCAGCCCATCGAACGCACATCAGTCCAACGGCTCCAAAGTTGCCAGAAAACGCTAGTCCCTAGAAATTTTTCGTTTCATCCAAACAATTGTGCAATCTCTATCCTCTCATATGGTAACGTAAGTTCGATAGATCACCATAATACTCTATGAATTTGAGCTTAACTTGCAAATATCTCCAAAAGTGCATACCTGCACAAACCTCAGCGCTAACAGCACTTTCAGGTCAAACATGGCTGCAACTGGTATCGATGCTGTGGCTGCGGCTGACAAAATCCCTGCTACGAGAAATGGCCATCTAGAAATGGAACTTTCAACCGTATAAAAATCAGTTTGGCCTTACTAGAGAGCATCGAAGTAAAACAGATGGGATTTCAAAGGCTGGCGACAAGTGGAGTGCTGTGAGCTAATTCTAGATTGACATTTATTCAGATTCGAAACTCGGGATGAAATACGATCATATATCATGATTACACTTCCAGCCATCGGACTGAAGTTTCTTGTCACAATAAACTATAGCGTTTGAAGAGAACAACTTTGCAAAAGTTACAAGTTCTTTTCAAGCTTTTCACCCTCTACTCAACCATAATTCGTTGATACTGATCTTTCATGGGTTTTTTTGGCTTTGATTCTCCAACTTATTTGTATCATTTGTATGGTGCATCCATGCCAAAAAAGGAATTTTCATTCTTTGTTGACAGTGTTTTCAGGCATATTTGTAAACCTCTAACACACCTTATACACAACTGTATAACATGAACTTTTTTTTCAATTTCACATCACTTAATCTTTGCCGACAACTTCGTCTTACAATGAAACGGAGAACAAAATCATGTCAAAGGAGGCTAAGGTTTTGATTCTTATACAGAAAAACTACTCTTTTGTACTTTTCTAGAAACCACGTAATTTCGTAATTGAAAATTTAAGCCTTCTACAGATTGAACAGCAAGATTTTAGGGTTAACAGAATTGTTATAGTTTGCCCGATCAAGCTTTACTAGATAACTGAATCACTGCTTGATTTTTTTGAATGTTAACTCTATCCTTTTTTTCGATACCATCATTCTACGAAATGGTGTGTCTAGCCGATCAACCTATGCCGAAAAAACAAAGTCGGGCACAAATAATTATTAGGTTGGCTCAAAAGTTCGCAGACATTCTCAGACTAGATCTGCTATTTCTCGAAACCTATTGCATATACATACGATAGAGATACCATTTGATACTACAGGATGGTATGCAAAAGTTCCACCAGCTTTGACCCACCATGTGTTTGCACCCAAAATCTGAGTCGTACTGAAGGTTCAAAAAATCGCGAAAAATTCATTGTTCATCTTCGTTCAAACAAATCTTACTGATCTCGAACTCGCTCACAAAAATTGCACACCGCATCAGACACTCATATGTACCGTTCCTGTATTTTTCCTCATCCGGAAAATCGAGAAAATGAAATTTCTTGTTTATATGAAAACAAAGTTGTTCTGTTTCCACACCTAATTGAATAGTACAAGCCCTCAGAAGTATAAACATAATTAGTTTTCCGCAAGCCCTACTTGTCGAAAAATATTGATTTTAGCATGGAACACCCGTGTGAGGAGAGCTCAATTCGGTAATTTTTGGAAACGGACCTATAAAAGGCTAAGAGTCCAAGGTTTTATTTCTATAGGCTTGTACTATACAATTAAATAAATGGGAGCAACGTAGCTTTGTTTTTGTGTAAGCAGGAAAATTTAGGGGGTGGAAACAGCACAACATCGTCTTTATATAAGCAAAAAACTATCGTTTTCTCGATTGAGGTAATGAAAAATACAGGAACGGTACATTTGAGTGTCTGATGCGGTGTGCAATTTTTGTGAGCGAGTTGGAGATCCACAGAATTTGTTTGAACAAAGATGAACAATGAATTTTTCGCAATATTTTGAACCTTCAGTACGACTCAGATTTTGGGTGCAAACTCACGGTGGGTCGAAGCTGGTACGAACTTTTGCATACCATCTTGTAGAGCTTGCGTTTCTCTATCGACTGGTATCTCTATCGGATGTAAATGCATTAGGTTTCGAGAAATAGCAGATCTAATCTGAAAATGCCTGGGAACTTTCGAACCATCCAAAAATATGGAAGTCGCTGACTCAGATGTGGCTGAATCTCAAAAACAACGTGTAGTTTGTTTGATGGCAAACATACTTACTTGGCACCAAATCTCGTATAAAAGTAGTTTACTGGAAACGTCCCCAGCAGCGTTCCAATCGGTACTGCCCAGATAATCGCTGTTTTTTCTGATGGAGAATAGTCTACTGCAGGGCTCTGAATATCTTTTACAGTATCTTCAGTACATGCAAGAGTAGCATTCTGTATCAGTTATTGGATTAAAACCATTGTTTTCAAGAAGTTTCCTTTATGTGTATGAAACGAGGAATAAACTCACATAACCATTGCCAGTAAAGTTATAGTCGCGTGACATACATATGAACGTAAAGTTGATTATAGTGTGATTTGAATTCACAGATAGAAGGCAGAAAAAAGCAATTAAGATAAGTAGATAGCGGAAGCTATTGCGCAGAAATGCGCAGAATTTGAAAGCCTTCATCAGTTAACATCCATTCAATGTTATTGCAATCTGGTAAAGATCTGAGTCCACTTGTCAGCATCAACAAGCATTTATCTAAAGACAGACTAGAGCGCTTAACCGAAAAATGTTTTCAAGTAGAGATAACTCGAAATAAATGTACGGATTAGGAAGACGTGGTCATGCTTAGAAACCTCAATAACATAAAAAGAGCAGCACGTTTGGTCGATCAGTACTTGCCAGTGAGTCCTTACTACAAAAAAGGCTAAGGTAAAAACTGAATCTATGACAAAATAGTGAGTATTTGTATGACACGTGACTGCATCTGAGTGTTCTTAGGGCTTTCATCTGTCACCTGTCGCCTTATCAAGGCTTGGTAAAGAGATAGTAGGATGACACGATTTGTTTCTTAGTATTTCTTGTTACTTTTCATTGGAGAGCATTTGAAGAACGCGAACGCAGAGCCTTCAATAACTCTTGGCCATTCGCATATGTGCTTCATATAGTCATTTTCATATGCAAACATTGCCGACACCATGACAAGTATGGTGCTGTCACGCTTGTTTCAGGGCGATGGGCTGGAAAGCTGTTCACTTTGATCATTAACCAAGCCCAGTAAATAATCAAAGAGGAGGCTCGCTAGAAAGATGCAGGCTTGATTAGCGATCGAAGCCCCTCCTTCCACCCACCATTTCCAGTGAAACAGAGGGTAATGGCCAAATCAAGCTAAAAGTATGTTAAGTATGGTTAGATTTGTTGCTATACCCCTTTCACTCTGTCAGATACACAGCGACAACAACTAGTTGAGTCCTAACACTTCGCTTTAACATTCAACGAAAGATTGTGATCAACGAAAGGTTTATAAATGATAGATTTCAAGTTGATTCACAACTTATGAACGTTTTTCTTATCGCTCTCATAAGCTGATTTTTTGAGAGAAAATTGTCGTAGACTTCGTTAAAATCTCTATTAGGATGGTGCACAATTGCCCCAAAAAGCCAAAAATCAAAAAGTAATAATTCTTCTGGCTGATATATAGGTGGGTCTCATCCGATAAAGCAAAGTAATCTTCATAAGATATATTGAAACCCCACCAACTTCGGTCCACGCAAATTTTGAAGCCGGAATTCAAAAGCTTTTGAACAAGCCAATCTAGAAAATTCGGAATTACATCCGAAAAGTTTTCTGTGGGTTTCCTGGTTTCCTACTCGCTCATACAATACTCAACTTCACGCAAATAGTCGCTGTATTTTTCCCTTGCTAAGGATTCAAAAGGAAAACATACAAGTTTAAAGAATGCTAGGTTATTTCCTCATCGATTATTGCATACTAGCACCTCCAAAAAATAACGGCGAGTTTGAGCCTGTTGCAAGAGTCTTCCTCAAATGTTATTGAGTCCTCTCCATCCGACTTTCTTACGTCGAATTCTGAAAAGTTTTCATTTGCTCAAAGTTTAGCTTCTATAAAAGGGCAAAATTCACAAAATTTTCTCAAAGTTTGTACTGGGTTAAAAAGAAAAAAGTAGTATTTTTTGCTACTATGCGAAATCGCTGGACGAGCACAAAAAGTATCTCATGGACTTTTTTCTCGTTCGCTTCTCGAGCAATGGCATCAAGTTTGATCTGTATGTAACTCGAAGCTAAAATTTCGGGACTCCAAATGCTCGAAAGATCGAAAAAAGTGTATGTTTTATCAAAAAACCTCACAGACCTCAAAATTCCTCATCAAATATATTTTATGCACCTCATGGCTCATAGTAACCCCTCCTGATGGTGATCGCGACGATCGGAACAAAGCATGTACGTGTCGCTTTAGACGTACACTCGGTGGCTATCTTTACTACGGTGAAATCGATGAAGGTTGCGAATAGAGAAGCGCTTGTCCTCCTCTTGTCCTCTTGTCCTCTCCTAGCGCGGAGACGAGGATAACGCAGCCGACTAGGGGTCGAGTACTTCGAGTTCGACCTATGCGCCAGTATCTAATCGCACTTCACTAGGGTTGAGCACATCCATTAACGATGTCAACAGCTGATAAGCTCCCAAATGTTGAAGTGCTGAGTGTTTATTAGTGCTGAGTGCTTTTTCTGTTTTCTGAGCGTTTCTGCTATATTCTTCCTAAAGTGAAAAAGATGAGTCCATTTTGATTACAAATTACCTCAGAATCCTACTTATACGTATTTTATCCGTTTGAACTATCTCTTCCTCTCAACGAATTCTCTCTGCATGTCTTGATTCCCTTATTTTTTCCCATTTTAGAAACTTTTATGAGGTACATTTAGTTGCTGTTCATTAGCTGCGCTCAGCGTTTCCCTTTTGATTTGAGTGAGGAAACCGCTGACGTTATGGCTAATGGAATAGCACATCTTTGCAACACTGAAGGAGTGATTGTCTTATAACATTTCAATGTCTTGTGTATTGTCAATGTTCTATGCTTAGCATTACCATTTTTCTCCCTTACCAAGTTGACGTTGCGCTATTCGCACCGCTTATAGCAGTATCTTCAGTACGCAGCTTGGCTGGGATTGTGGGGGGGGGGGGGAGGGGTTAGTGCATACCTTTATCACGTACGTAAAGGCCAACACAAGTCAAGGCTTGCTTGAAGGCAGTAGCTCGGCAAAACCAAATATCTCGAAATTCTGCCATGGAAGGTAGCTTGCATCTCAAACATCAAAACCGAGCAGTCCGAGCGCACTACACGCTGCCCTTGCTTTAAAAACTGCCTCTAAACACGTGCGTGCAAGCCATTCTTACACGCGCTCGGACGAGCTTGTTCCCCTCCTACCGTCAGAAACGGCATGCCGCAATGCTATAGACATGAGGGTCCTGCAACGACTTTACGTCTCTAACTATGGCGGGGAGTGGTCCACTCGTCCAAATTCAAACCAAGAACCTTTGGAAAATGCTGATTTTTGACGTTTTCGTGATCTCCAAAATGTATTTTCGAAGCCATCGCGTCGAATTATCCCAGGTAAGCGAAAAAAACTTCAGGTCGCGGATTTGCCGAGCCACTTTTAATTTGCTCGAAAGATGTTGCACGCAACTGTCTGTCGCATCTTTGCCATGCTAGCTTCAACTTTGATTCCTCGATTAGATATCAATAGCGCGGTGAAAGTGCGATCGGCGATCATCGAAGGTTTCGATCGCTTGTGGGCGCGCAAGTTTTGCGGCAACTAGGGTGGAGGACTATATGTCGCCGAATTTGGAAGAGTCCCGCGCGGATTCCCTGCAGGAACGCATGTCCGCACATGTACAAGAGTGCGTATTTGTCGCAAATGACCGCGGGGACCGCCCTTTTTCGGCGACATATAGTCCTCTACCCCGGCAACTAAGGCATGCTCATGAGAGCATGTACCATCGTCTCCCCGATTGCTGCGAGGGCGCTCGCGATGGTCAACCGATAATCAATTTATCAACTATGTTTCAACACTGGACAACCGCATCGCTGATACGCTCGCCCGAGTCCGCCCTCGCGGCAATTGGGGAGCCGATGGTAGATTAATCGGATAGAGCTCTCTCTCCTCACATTACACCACATTTCGGGGGTTTACTACGGCCAAGCATCCATATGCGTACTCGATGTATTTTTTTGGCTACTGTTGGTGATTTATGTATCATCAACCTCAACAATTCTATAATTCTAATAGCTTACGGGTATTCCCCATAGGCTACATTCCCCAATCGCTTATATAGTGTGGACCCCGGCCAGGTTCCCATAGGTACTTCCGCGGCGCGCACGCAGCGCGCCCTTTTCAATGCTTCTCGCCTCACTCATGGGCAGTAGAGCATATTTATGCTCACAAAGGAGAAAAACGTAAAGCGGAAACTTCTAGGTTCGCTTCGAAAGAGACGTATGCAAGAATGAAACGCATTCAACCTCCATGAGCACTTCAAATTCAATCAATGGATGCATATTCCGAACTTGCACTGATGGATAGATTGTATTAAGTAAACGTAGAGAAATCAAAAAACAACAGCATTTTTCATACATTTCCTTTCGTAGATTTAGAAACTAAAGTGGTCAAAGATTTTACAAAAAGTGGACATTCAAGTAAACAAATGCCTATTGGCTTCTCGAAAGGCTGAATTTTGACTTGAGGCACTGTCTACACCTTACACATCAATTTAAAAGGTCTTATTTTACACAAAAAGCTTTTGAAGGAATATTATCTCAATATCCAATCAATCTTAATTTTTCAGAGAAAAAAGGGAGAACACAAGACTACTAAACAAGACTGAAGGTCTTAGAACTATTAGAGCACTTGAAATCTCGTCACTGTTCATCGCGAATTGTCTATACCTGAAATAGAGAGAATCTAGTACACCAAAAACAAAAAAAAGAGAGAAAAAGGAGGATTTCCATCGGAAGCTAGGACAGGAGACGCACTGAAGGCGTGCGTTGCGGGTGCGTCGCGCAGGTACCTATGGGAACCTGGCCGGGGTCCACACTATATTTAAGTGCCAAATCACTCACCAGTGAGTGGCACCTATCTTCCAGGGGCCGTACCAAGCCGCGGCATCCTCTTTTTTGTATATATTTCCTAGACAGTCTGATTGTGCACGGGTCAGTTCCGTCTTACTACCTATATAAGGAGCCCCCGATTGTATTATAGGTTGCTCTCCCCGGTTCACACCGGGTTCGTCTCAATAAATGATTCCTACGACTCCACTATCGATAGCGAAACATTGGCTTCCACCAAAGCTACTAGCTATCGAAAAAACGAAAATTTCCGGTTTTTTTCATTGCAATGCTGAGCGGTCCTAGCACGAGTAGATCTAAACTTCTGACCCTTGCAAACATTACCAAAAATTTTCAGCTTTCTACACGGGTGAGTCATTGAAAAAAACCGAATTCAAGTTTTCCTTCCAGACATTTAATGCTGAATTTCAAATTTTTTGAGAATTAGCTCTCGTAGAGGCTGAAGATTTGTGTTGAAACTTGTAAAGGTCTGTAATATAGATTTGCTTTAAGGAACGCCCAGCTTCCTTTGAAAAATACCCGAAAATTTCCATTTCGATTCCTGGTTATGGAAAAATATATGCATACGGATGTCTGATGTGCAGGAAACATTTCTTCAAGTTGAGAAATTTGCAAGATTTTTTAAAAAGAACACGATTTTTTTCGATTTTTTCGAGCATCTGAACCCTATAGATTCTGGCTTGAAGTTCCAAAATTGCTGTAATGTAGCAATTTTGATCATGAGCATTTCAAGCAACGAATATCTTACGCCTAATATTCACATACCCAAAGCTCTAGTACGCTGGAAGACCACAGAATTGGTTCTAATCACATTTTGCGCTCATTTCTCGCTACAAAAAAACACCCATAACTCAAGGTTCAAAGGCGATTGGCAAATAACGAGAGTAGATTTAGAAGCGTCTAGTGCTCCTTGAATTTGCAGGGATCGTTTGGAAGTGCCATTACGACTAAAAACGCTCCCTCATTAGAGCTTTGCCTCCCAGAGTCTATGCGTTTTGACAAGGAGTAACATAAATCATTTACTTTTGTCGCTACAGTTCATAGAATATATCGTCTTATCTGTATGAGATTACGAAGTTTCATGCTACAAAACATTTACTGATACTAGATTTGAAAAAATATCTTGGTGGAATGTTCAACACAAATTTGGCCGGTCACTGTGGCATCTCCCTTTTTCTTGGAAGCCACAAAATGTCTTTATTTGACTTCTATGCAGTATTTGCGGAAAAAAAAAATGGCTAAAACTGATGTTTTTACCACGGCTCAACCGAACATCATTTGCACAATGAGCATAGTTTGCGTTATTACAGTGTTATTGGAAAACTTGCTCATAATGTTTACATACAAATGTATATCTTGCATAGGTAAAGATTTGCTGTTTTCAAAATTTCATTTTGAATGTATTTTTATAATGATTGCTACAGTTTAACATTAAAAACACCTAGAACTACCTAACAATGGTTGCAAAGTGTCTTACACGCATTTTCGGACTATAAAGTTTTGAAACGATGATTAGAATACGTAGCTTTTTCTTTTCTTGGTCATGGTAAGTGATATGGTAGAAAGCCTTTACATGATAATCAAATTTTTTCAACCTTCACTTCTATCTGCCTAGAGTTTAGCTTACTGTGAATTTTATTCCGCAGTGGTTCCGGAAGAGAGTAATGATTGCTGCAGTCTAACGTTAATAACACTTAAAATTAGCTAACAAGGTGTTAATATATTAGGTTGTACGGAAAATAATGTCGCATCGTGTTTTCTCATGCTATATTGTAGCAGGGTGCGCACGAAAGTAAGTGGGGTATCAATTGATAGATCAAAGCAAGCACTACCAAATGAAGTCCTAGGAATCCCTAACTTGCTCACGCATGGACTCACTATACGAGACACTCGTGCACATTTTCGCGGTTTTTCCATGGCTGAAAATTGAGAAAACGAAATTCGGCATGTTTTTGCGAAAGCAATCCTGGGCTTCTCTCACATGGGTGGTTCTGTAGTATGGACCTTCAGGAGTACTACAACCATAAATTTTCAGCTTAGACAAACGGTAGTTTTCGAGAAAATCAATTTGTTTGCAAAAAACCCGAAAAACGCGACATATTCGCACTTTTAACCTATTTTTGTTTGTCGTACTGTAGCAGTGTAAAAATACCACAAACTATGCAGGTGAATGTCTAGTGTGGAGAGTACATGCCTGTGGAAATTGGAGATCCCTAAGACGTCTATCAACGGAGATACGACTTTGCGGGTATCTGAATTTTTTCACATTTTGAATTCGAACTTCACTTGGAGAAAGATTTCCGCGGAGATTTGTGACTTACCGTGTAGGGTTCGCTTTGCTCTATCAAAAAAATACCCCATTCGCTGTTTTTTATGGTCATTCTGTAGGATGCCGTGCGACAATATTTTCCGGACAACCTAATAGTATAGGAAGACACAAAGAAATGGAGCATTTGCCTATACGCTGCTGTCTGTAAAGTTTTGCAAGGTCAAATTTCCTGAATTAAGCTTTCGTAAAGTCAAGAAACACAAAACTGCACAAAGACATTGCTGAGTAATTTTGAAAGAGCTTGAAAGACGTTAGAATGTCTATCATGGCGCACGGACTCTTTGGAAAGGATACAATGTTCTCATTCTGTTTTGGAATGAAGCCCAAAATTCGAACCCAATTCTTCGAGAAAGTAGACATTTTGAGGACTTCAAAACTCACAATTCCTATGTGCTAGAACGCTACGAATGTAGAAAGCACTCTAACGCTCATAATTTCTCAAAAAAGTCACCGTACCATCGAAATTCACCGAAATTATTGTCGTATGTGGATTCAGAGTACACACATTCTCTGTGCGACATCTCGACAGGATGCATCTTCTGGTATTTGGAAGTTCCCATCTGGATACGGTAGGCGGTAGGATTTTACAGTTTTTTGCCTAAGGTTACTCAGTGTGGAATCATCACACTGATCCTACCGTAAGCAGGAATCTGCAAAACTGGAGAAACACTGCCTATCGTACCTATCCAATTGAGCATGTCAGGCGAAAAGTCTCGCCGAGGTCGAAAGGTCCCCTTCGATTTAGAATCCATTCACAATGAGCAAAATATGGATGCAGCGCAGGTTCCTGTGACCTCCGGTAGAGTTCGTCGAATTTTTTAACCATTTATGAGCATAGAAGAGCCAGGTTTTCGCATCAGCTGAAACGCTGCAAAAGTTCCAATTTGAGCGCAGGTCACTTACGTAAATTGAGTTTTGCGTTTTATGCAACCCACCAACACTTGTAAATATAAGGTGGTACACTTTGGCGGCATGTACACATGTTTTTTTGGAGTCCGTGAAAGCTTTGCTGAATGGAGATTCCGTTGAAAGCTACAGTTTTGGTTAGCTTCCATTCTAGCATTATGAGGTAAACGTACATCCCGAATCAAAGATCGATTCATTGAGATGCCCTGCATTGCAGCATTTTTTGGAGTGGACCTATAGTTTAGAACTGCATTGAACTTTTGGGACCAGATAAAACCTAGTAATAATCATGCACAAAGAGGGCTGATCCTTCTTGATTTACCCAATCACCATTAAAAGGAATTAGCAGTGTTAGCACTCGATCTTCTTGAATAGATTAGAGAGCAGTAATGAATACACATTTGAACGTGAACTGGATACCAACTCAAGCTAATTATTAACTGGCAACTGAGTTTTGTAGCTTTTTTCACGATATTCTCTTTTCATGTATAATGTGGTCAAATTTTGGCTTTATGTAGGTACGTGTGTGAAAAATAGAAATTGAAACATACAGGGTGGTCCACATGAAGTTTGACACAACAAAAAAAATATTATAACTTTGCAAGGACTGAATGAAATAAGAAGCTTTTGTCCTCACCAGAATTCTGTATAAGAACTTTGAACTAATGTTCGAGATATTTGTCACTGCTTTTTTTAAAACGTTTTTTCTCCTTCAAACCTCTTCCAAAAATTCTTCGATTTGCGCGCGATGGTTTCTGCTCTCAAGCTCTCACCGGGTTTCTTTTTGGCAAATGACATGGGTTTTGAAGAGCAGACTTTTTCCTTTCAGGCTGATAGAAAAGAGTTTTTGTTGGTTCAAGGATGGGCGAGCAAGAGGGCCAAATGTTTTTTTTCAGTCTCCAAACGATGGATTTTACACAACTTCAATTTCTTTTTTTTTCGCTATGGATTGGTATATGGTCATGCTAATAATTCCCAAAAACGTCTATATTATTTCCTTTGCTCCAAGAAAGTGCCACAGCGCTTCAGAGTTTGCTTTCAATGTTTTTCCAGAATCTCGGAAGATTGCGATTTTTGTTGCCATGGCGACTGCCTTTAATAAATCTTCAAGCTTGACCATGTTTTACTAAGAACCGAAGTCGGAAACAAGCACAACGGGACAAAAGAATGTGGAGAAGACGAATATCTTCGGAACCTGGAATGAAATAGACCAAAAAATGATTTCTTCGCAGTCCATCAAACTTCATATTTGCCACATTCGAACAAACAATTTTGGGATGAAATTTCCGCCAAAAACCATTGCGCGCATTTTGAAAATTTCTTCGAGCAGAATAAATTCTGTCGTTAAAGGCGGAGATGAACTTCTTGGAAGTAGTCTATGAGGATTTACACAAAATTTTCTTGTCTATTAGATGAAAACAGAAACTTCTAATTTCGTTGAATATTAGCAAAGTTACGTAAGCTTTTGTGCGTCACATTTCTTGTGAACCACCAAAAATAGAAATAAAAATTGCGTGTGAGATACAAATGCGCAAAAAATGTCCAATATTTCATCATGCGCAATTTCCAGTCTCACATACATAGATGTATTCTTAAACGGCAGAAGATTATGAGAAATCTTATCCACACAGTCAATATAAAAAACTAAAATGGACGCATTTTCGCGTATTTTTATTTCTTGAATACCAGCACCACGCTTCGTTAATTTAAAAAGTAGGCATTATGCTCCACAAATATAAAAAGTGTAACTAAGTGTTAGGTTTAGTGTATCTAAGTAAGGTCAACATTTGCACTCTATTCGTCTTTATGCACCATCTTTTATATGCCACTTCCACTAAGTGGCCTAGCCTTGTAAAGCAGCTGTAAATCTTTATGGAAATCCTTTCTTATTCGCTAGAAATGCACTATATGCAAATTTAATACCTATTGCTCAAAATGTGAAAAATGTGTAAGTTCGATGTTGTTTGATGTTTCTTCCGTTTGAAGACGGGTGCCAAATCGATACACATTTCTTCGACAGCGAGTAAATAGATGATTGTAACGAAAGTAAACGATCTCTGCAAAAAAAAAACTTCATTATTCTCTATTCAGTACTGAAAAAAACAGAAAAACACGAATGCAAGATTTTTGGTTTCTCGACGTTGACATTCTCCTAACATCTTCTCATAGCAATGCTAGGAAATGATAAGCATTTTCGCTTGCTACTATGAATAGATCAGTAGAAAACTTTCATCTCTAACAAGAAGGAAAAATATTGGTGGCTGTATAAATAGTGTCGAAATGAATTCATCACTAAAGCGCCTCTACATCTATTCTGAACTTGAATCATATGAAAATTGAATTAAATCGACAGCAACTTTCACCGCGTACAGCTTTCACGAATGTATCTTGAAAGAGTCATGCTATGACACGGATATTAAAAGTAGCTTACCACCAAAAAGATACGCAATCGCGAATAAAAGCAGTTTTCCCGTCCATGCGAAAAGAACTGTGATATGACTCAGGATCAACACGTTCACATTTTCTTGTAGATGTTTGATGATATATTGATCATAAGGTTGCATATAACGATTATGTATTGTAGGATAGCTATAATACAAAATTTGAGTAGAGGGACGAAATTGATTTTGGGCACTTACCCATTGGAAGCGTATGCAATTGCTTCGTTCAGTTTATTTAACGCTGGCAACTTCCTGAAATGTAACCTTGAATATGGCCAAACCCAGAGTGCTCTTAGGGAGACTAATAGACTCTAGTAATTTCATTTTATTTGAATCGGTGCAGCAGTTCCTTCCGAGCTTCCTTTCGAAAATGTTTGGGGTCAGCAAGCTTTCAAAACCAAGAGATGCGGTGAGAGGCAAAGCAGAATCACCGCATTCTTGGAGTTTTCAAAAAAAAAAAATCCAGCACAAGTTTTCGAAAGCGGTGAGTCGCCAACTTTCCAGAAAAAAAGAAAATCTGTTTGCACATTGAGTATTGCTTGGAATTGCCGATTCTGTTAAAAATAATAATATAACCTCAGACAAATGACCGAAACTTCCGCAGAGCGCTTGCGGAAGTTCCGCCGGGTCACCTGCGGAACTTCCGCAGGTTCCGAAATGAAGTCTGCGGAAGTTCCGAAGAATGCCAACTACAACAGCAAAAGAGAATACCGAAGCGAGATTTGAACCTTACTTTATTGACTATGAGACTCACCTACTATCCTCTGCACTACGACCGACACATTCAATAATGCACTTTAGTTTTTGGCGAGGCAACGTCGTATTAGACAACACACTTCAAAACCCTGCGGAAGTTCTGGCAGGCCAAAGTGCTGCGGAACCTTTGGCATTTCTCGGAGTTTCCGCAGGATTTTGAAGAAGTTACCGCGGAAGTTTCGATTTTCAAGGCTTTCATGTTTGCAATAGTGAACAAAGTCCTGCGGAACTTCCGCAAATTTGGCTTGTCCTGCGGAAGTTCCGGTGATTTGTCTGAGGTCTACAAATTTATAGGGTGAACGGTAAAAAGTGGGACACTTACGAAATAACTGGAGGTTTCTCAAGAGTGAGAAGCGATTAGACTTTCCAATTTTGATAGATGTTAGATTATGTTATTCTCTTGCAGATAATACCTATATAAGGCCATTTACATAATTAATAACTTTTATACTTACTGAAATGCAAAATCAGTCACCTCGATAAATTATGAAGTTTGAGCAGTATCTGCGCAGTGAAACATGTGAGACCATCCAAAGTACCACTGCTGGAGTGGATGGTGGGACAGTCACTAAATCCACTACGGCTTGGTGGCCTCAGCTTGCAAAGTCAAGAGATATAGCCATTAGCAGCTTTGAGAACATAGATACGCGTTATTCAATTCCTTCCAGGTGAATGCATGTTTTCTAGGTACCATCTGATAGAGCTTTTTACGTTCTATCCATCCATTTGCAACTTACCTCAGATTTTATCTATCTTCGGAAAATATAGGGCGAAACAGGATTTTTTGGTTTTTTATTGCGCCAAAAATAGCCACTTTTCAAGTTTTTTCGATTTTTTTTCTAAAATTGAAAGAAAGTCTTATGCATTTAACATATCATTTGAAAGAGCATGAAAAGCTCTTTCGAATGGCATGTCATATACTTGACGACCTTACGGTATAGCAGCGCAAGATTGAGAATTGTTCCAAAGACCCTGTCTGAGTTCTTCACGGCGCCACGCGTACGGTTATGAGAGAGGAGCGGTAACGCGTTGCCAGAATAATAGGCGAAGGTCGTTTATGTAAGCGACATTTAAGTTGTAGCCTGTTGTTGTTGGTGAGAACAAAAAACCTCAAAATGTTAGAAAAAAATCAAGCTGTCCCATTTTTTACCGTTCACCCTAATATCTGTCAATATACATGTCTCATAAGTAAGTATACAGTGTTTGATCATTGATATCTCACTTCTCAAGAAGACTTTGCTTATTTTCAGGTGCCATATAGAGCTGGCTTAAACTTGGATCCGCAGTATGGAGCGAACCACCGATCGCTCTTCATTACTGTAGGATTACGGTAGGAACTTTTGGCTTACAGCGTCATTTGCATCAGTAGTGTTTTGAAAATGTTTCTAAAAATTTCAAAAAGTGGTGTATCAAAAACTTTGCGTGTGCTGATTTCATTAATTTTTTTTAGAAGTTTGTAGGGCTTTTCAGGCGGTGTAATCACAATTTTAGGGCGAATAAAAGACAGCTATTGCGATTTACCTGACTGAAGGAAACATTGCGGTAATTGATAAGTTCATTATTATTTAGTTTCTTTAGTTTTACGACTCTAATTAAGCTAGCTCAAGAGTTTCCAAGCTGTTTGGTTTGCTTTCAAAGCGAAAAAGCCCTCAATGGCTCGAAACCTTTCTTGAAGTTCCTACCGTAATCCTGCAGTAATGAAGAAAGATCCGTGATTGCTCAATACTGCAAAAAGTCAGGTCGGCAAAAGGGTACCCGAGAGTAGGTGAAAGGTTTTCAGAAGAGAGATATCAATGATCAAACAGTGTATACATACTTTTGGGATACCCTGTATTTTGGTGAATTGATACGAGAGTCGAATTATGGAAAAGTTGTCTAATTTAAAAGGCTTTTGAAATCATGGCTATGATCAATTCGCAACAGAAGAGGAGTAGATTGAGCGTGCATGCTTTTCTGCTTCAGTCTATTACTCCAACTCATTACATTGACCTTTGTGTACATGCCTCTGAAGGAAGTGGTCATTTGACTAGTGTACACTACCAACAGTATGAGAAGGAGCAAAACTTGTATGCAAGAAACAAATTGAAACAGTTCGTTTTTCTCCAAAGGATAGCATTTATGATAAGATCAATATTCGTTTTGTTTTCAATTGATGTAATCATACCACCAAAATTCTCTTCTGACCCGTTCATGTTTTCAAAAATTGCACCTATTGAAAGATTGTAAACTATGGTACTTTTGCTCGTCTTCTTAACTGTTGTGGATTCCAAAAACCCCCTAACGCTTACTTGCGCGCAATGTACGAAATATGTACTGGTGATTTAATCCGATCCCTCACAAAAAGAATGCGTTTTTTGTGATTGAGGATATTCCAGTCGTGAGGAGCTGTAACGCTTGGTAGGGCGCTAAAACCGAAATGACGATCAGTTTCGACGGCTTCTTCTAGCGACATGTTGTACTCCAATATTAGCGATCTGAATTATGATGGGATTACATGGAAGAAGAATACAGTTGAAATCTTCCTAAGTGTATTCTGAAAAAAAAAATTTTGTTTGTTTTTTTAACACATAAACCATCATTCCGAATTTAGTAGTTTGAACACAGCCAGATTTTCGGCACGTTTATGCAACTCTTAGGAAACGTTGTAAAAGCCTTTTTGCCACGTGTGCTTCAAAAGCAGTGGCTTCCATGACCCTCTTTAGAAGAGCGTTTCGCAGAAACGGAAAGCAGATTTAAAACCAGCTTTCGAAGCTTTCAGGGGATAAGCATTTCATATCAAACGGCCACGACCACTGAAAGTACTTCCCTCGTTAGGGAGCCTCCAGACCGCGCCAGTACCGCGCCGGTTGTCGCTTTTGCAGCCGGTAGCTGCTTTCGCGCCGGTTGCCGCTATTGCAGCCAAAGCGCATCGGGTCAGATTTTGTCCGCGAAGCACGTAATAGGGAGGAGCGTTTGCACCAACGCGATATTTGCAGGGTTTATTGGCTCTTTTCTAGCTATTCTTCGTCAGAAATAGTGATTTGTTTGCTTTTTTCATGGACATTTGCAATCTTAGGGAATTTCCATGGAACCCAATCGACAACCGCTGCCGTATGCCTGATTTTAGCAGTTTATCGAAAGATTATGGGCAGCCGCTGATTATTCACTTCTACAGCGATCTGCACGGCAACATAGTATCGCACATTGGTGGTGAGTGTCTTTTTATTCTTATTTGCACATCCGAAATTCTGCCTTTTCTCAGATTTTCGAGATGTTCCTATTGTAGAGGCTGTTAGAGCTTTTAATGCTCAACCCGTTTACACACATAGCATCAGTCTAGTTGTGAGGATATACCGCTGTGATGAGGATGAAATAGCATACATTTTGGTGGATTTTCTTAGTACAGGACAGATTGTCCACCAGTGCACATATTATTATAGCCAACGTTGCGTCTTCCTCTCTTTCGCTGTCGTATAAATTTTACTGTCAACGAGTGGGAGCGATGTGTGCTTGCAATGGATGACTACTATCATGCAGTCAAGATAGTGGAAGTGATATCCGATTTCGCAGACAAGTTAGTATTTCACAGAGTGTCAGTTAGAACTCGGGCAGAGTTCACGCGATTTCATCGCCTCGCGGTTCTCCCGACAAGACATCAGTTACGAGTCCGTTGCATGGTAATCATGTTACATTTTCGTTGTGATAGTTAGTCACGGTTAATCGTGTTGGAAAACTATCACAACCGAAATGCAAGATGACCGGCATACAATGGATTGGTCACTGTTGTCTTGTTGGAATCGCGAGGCGATAAATCGCGTGAACTCTGCACAAGGCTTTAGCATAAAAATGATAGAATTTAGGGTCTTTGATGTCAACATAGGATCAGTACAGCGTATGAAGGAAACAACGAATTGGTAAGGTTAGCATCGCACCCTCGTAATAGCACGTCTATTTCCTCAAAATGGATTTTTTTAAATATAGAGGAAGAAGCCTTTCATGTCGTGCAGTTATTAGAGGGATGGCTTCCTAGTTATACTACTTTGAGGTAAGTTGAATTTCTTCCGAGTAGCACGTTCTTAGGATGTCTCTAAGTCATGTCGGTTTTTTTCAAATCTGTTTCACCTATTCCTAGTTTGGCGAAAGTGCAAATAAGGTACTCACATATGAGACGTATTGTCAACGATGTAAAATTTGATGAGAGATGGCAGCGTATCTTGTGCGAGGTTTGTGGCCTGTGTCGTCGTTTATTTAGCATCTGACTTTTTTACTTCAGTTAGTAACCTACCAGCATGCTCCACAGCTCCGCAGACAGAGCAAAAAGGTCTTGCTAACAATGTTCGACGGCGACAAGCAAAATATCGTGAAGTGCGTGACCAGCATATAATGAGAGCACACATCGAACTTCTCAAGGAAAAATATGCACAGCATAGGTAGTGTTGCACATTGACTTAGGTTAAGCTATACGTTCACTTTTCAGTTTCAACCATCAACAGCTGACCGAAATGGTAGAGATTGTGAGTGCCATTGCAGCTACTGCCAATCAACGCACTACATTGTGGAGGACCATCTGCGAGGAGCAGGTACTCTTAGGCTCTCTAGGTCTAGGTCTCAATTAAAAATTAATTCAAAATGTATCCCTTTAGCCTAATTGGCTCCTACAACTGGCATGTCGCGTAGCTGATGCGGTGTCTTGCAGTGTGGTAGATCTGTTGGTCTCGGCGATTAGAGAGACCCCTGGTCAACAGGAGGAAAATATCTATCTGGCCGATAAGTAAGTGTCATTTGATCAGTCACTATGTCTACCACTGGCGCTTGATTTGAAGTTGAGTTGTTGGTTTGATTCTCAGGATCATCTCGGAAGAAGAGAACAGATGTTTGCTGATGATGCTTCTTGTGCGATATTTAATAGGTCGAGATGAAAGCCGGCGCTGGCTGATGCATGGACTTTTGAGATCTACAATTCAGTTGGCTAGTTGACACAATCAGGTGACTACGCTGTTTTTCATTTACTTTGCGCTCATCAACTTTTAAAAATGTTACAACTCTTACACCTCCAGGATACAGTTGAGACGGTAAAGCTGAATTCCATCAAGCAAGAGGCTCGCTTTGCTGCAAATGCTATGATGCTGAAGCTGACTTGCCACTATGAAATCAGCAAGGTCATAGTCAAATTAACAGATGTCAAACGAAATAAGATGATAAAGTGAGTGTTCTCCATTGTTCTTCTTTCTCTTTCGAAACATCTTTCACGGACGTGTCAATCTCTTCTACTGTCCAAAAACGGTCGAATCCGCTGTGGAATTGAAGACATGCCCTGAACTCTGGCAACGAGCTTCCAGCTGTAGTGTAAGTTCCTAAAGCAAAATAAACTGATTTATGTTGGACAGATTCGATTGTTTAGGTAATAGCAAATGACACTGAAGTGGTGCTACAGCTGGCTATACCTGTTGTTACGGCCTCTTTGGTCATCCAGTTCTCCGAACTGACTGAAAGTCGCCAAAATCAGGAACTTCACTGCCCAAGGTACAGGAGACAGTTCGCCATTTCGCCGCGTCCTTTTTTGAGGTCTACTCTTGGCGATTATTTGAACCAGTATTTCATAGCGGTCTTTGTTGATTGGGGTCCCTTGGTAGTTTGCATTAGCTTTCACTGCTAGCAGCAATTCGTGTAGTACTAAAGTGGATTGTTCTTCAGCGGCATGAGTTTGACAGGAATTTGAGTTGCTCATTGTAATCTTTACTACAAACCACTCAACATTTGCGAGTTTAGTCTTTCTGACAACTTGTCATCAAGTAGCATGTCTACCATATTTTGTCCTGCTTCAGGTGTTCATCGGTGGTGCAGCCAAACCCTGATCTTTGTGAGCATTGTGGGGAGAATGTCTTCCAGCGCGTTAAATGCCGTGCGATCAACTATGACGAAAAGGTCAGGGCGAGCCTTAGTTTGAGCAACATTATATTAGTTGCCGTATTGACCCTAGTTATGTTTCAGGATCCATTTTTGTGCCAGTCATGTGGTTTTTGCAAATATGCTCATATGGATATATCAGTTGTTTGTCGTGCTCTTCCGGGAGTGCAACCGATTACAACAGATATCGAAAGAGCATCGGTGAGTTTGTGAGATGCTCAGATCTGATTCTTTCACTGCTTCCTTTTGCCACCATCTCTGTTAGTTTGAACTACTAATTATGTTAAGTGTGTGGAATCCATGGCTCGCTTACTCTGCGAGATGGAGCAAACCCGCACTCAGCTGGGAGCTGGTAGAGCGCTTTGCGAATCGTTGTGGCTTCAGTCGCGTCCAATTCCTCCCATAAGCTTCCATGTAGAAAGCCCAGATGCCGCTAATGCTTTTATCGCAGAGCATCCACCTATAAATCATCAGCAGGTCAGTTCTAAGTACTTGTAGGAACTCAAAAATATGTGATTTCCATACTTTCCATCTTTCTTAGACTATTCACCGAATGGTAGCGCAAATGTCTTTTTAATACCTCAGAAATTCATGACAAAGTAAATTGCAGCACCTCTCTTTATTGTAGAGGAAAAATTCATGCTTCAATGCATTTGTCAGCATCATTTTCTGGCTTTCTGTCTAAAAAGGACATATTTCACGTCCTTTTTTGTATTGACGCATATATGCTTTGCTTTTGCAGAATGAAAAGGTGGATTATGTGCGAGATTATCGGTTTTCCGCTAATGGATTGATCACGATTAATGTTTATTGTGAAGTGAGTTTGCTCCGAAATTTCACATCCTTTTCCTGCCTTCTTGATATTTCTGCTCTATCAACAAGTTGCGTTTATTTTTTTTGACGTTTTATCGAGCTTGTGACACTTTTACTTTTGCAACAGAATTTTGCCGTCAACAAGTTAGCCAAGACGGACTGTAATTTGATTTCTTGTGTACATAAGCGCATTTTCTTCTCTTATGCAACATAATAATCTTGATAGGGTGCTCTACCTGAAGATGCACGCGTCACAAGCGATGGGCAAATGTTACGTCATTTCATTTATTAGTGTTATTATTAGCGTTATTGGCACTTGTTAGCATTCCCATCCTGGATTCTGGGAGGAGGCAATCCTTCAGCTGAGTCATTGTTGGGTTCTTGGTGTTTTCTCTTCTTTTTGGGTACTATTCACCTCAAAATGATGAAAACGATAGCAATTGGTTACTCTTTTGCGTTTTTGCGATCGTAAATCCAGGATGGGGACGGCATTGGACGGTGTGTGCGGGTGCACACATGATTATATGAAATGATTCAACTGTTCGTGGTATCGGTGTCCGCATAATTGCGTGGGACGCCAACGCCACGTACAATTGCGGATTTTTTTTTTGAGAAAAATACGGTAGAAAAGTCAGAAATTATGATTTCTGCTTGTTTTCGAAACGTTTTTGGAAGCATATAGTTTTTCTTTTGTCCTTCTTGCAAGATTCATTCTTCACTGTCTATTATGTAAGTTTTCAATACATTGCTATCGTTTAAACCACAAATTCTCACGTTATGTTTATCTGCGTTGTTGCTCATGTGGATGTAATCTTTAGTTTTCAGGACTTTTCCAAGTAATGTTTGATGCCTATTCTTGCAATTACCTGTCGCCGTATCTGACCTAGGTCATTACAGGATCCTGGCACCTCATCCTGGCGCACCGAATCTGATGTGCGAGATCGCCTTAATGACCCCTCCGCCTCCCGGCACCTGTGCAAGAAAAGAGGACGTTTATTTTGTGGTATAAAAGAACCTAACACAAAAATTTTTTCCATTTTGCAAGTTATTGACTCGAAAGTTAAATTTTTACTCGCAATTTTTTGAAGCTGATGTTTTTCCTATCTGTCACCTCCGCTCTTCCCTACTGATGAGCCTCGGGAGCGGTCTTTTCTCTTTTTATCGTCTGTCTAGGGGTAGAGGCGAAACAGATCGTCTCGCTTGAATGTTTTAGTCAAGACATAAATGTTTATTTTAGATCATCAATGTTTTCTCGACCTAGATGGACTGTGTTAGAGCAAGAAACAATGGATGACATGTGCTGGATGTAAGTTAAATCGGTTGATTTTTTGTACCTGCTTTCAAGTTTGCTTCTCAATGACTCTACACTATAGTCTAAATGTACATTCCAAGCTGTCTCTCACGTGACATTGCACAGTAAACTATCTAACACTAGTGCAGCAATACAGGAGCGGGATGGGCGAGTGCTAGGGTCTTCCCAAAGGTATCGGGTAATTCTTTAGACATTTCCATTCAATTTGATCCGAAATCTGAAACCAAGAGTGGGAAATGAACGTCAGCGCCAAACAAAGAGCTTCTGAATATGTTTATTTGCAACACTGTTTATATCTTTTCGAAAATGGCAATCTTCGGTACCACTTTGAAAGGCTCTCAAAAGTAATGAATAAATTTGGACTTGTACCAAAACAAGCGCATTGGGCCGGGCCTTTGGAAGATCCTGTCCCTTTGCCCCTCCCCACCGGTTTGCTTTTCAAGCTGCATGTCCGTATAAGTTGACATAATGCTGGGTAATGCGATCTTTTGCAATATTGGGTGAGTCTCTTCCTGCTTCCTCCTCGTCGATTTGAAGGGGATGGTAGCCATCTGGTGCAGGATTATGTCTTCGGACGCCAGCTAGGCTGTCTTCCCTTCGTGGAAGCAGGTTATGCAAAATCTGTGAATATTTTTCATTTGTTGTGAATGTTTAACAATTGCTTAAAAGTGATAGAGCGAACCATAACCGATATGACGATTCGTTCAGCACGAATGGGCTCCAGTTCAATACGATTCATGAGGATCTGGAATCGTTGCGCGAGTAGTCCAAATGTGGATTCAATCAACCGTCGCGCTCTAGTTAAGTTTGCTCATTAATAGCTTGTCGGTATCATATGAAAGTGGCTACTTTACCGGCACATTTTGTTGTTAAACCTTTTCCTGTCAGGTGTGTTCGCCTCTCTTTCTCTGTACGGCCTCACGAACCTATGACTTTGTCCAAACCCACCATCGACGAGAAAGTGGTATTGAACTGGGCCAACTGTGCCTAGCTCTCTAGTTGGTGGGAAAATAGCGTCGTTCTCGTCCAAAAATCTCTAGATATGATACATTATTATGAAAATTTCTTATAAAGATCGAACCTTGATACTGGATGACCGATAAACTCCGGCATCTCCATTACAACCAGGTGATCCGACATCATATATTATGATGCGGTAGTCGCAATCGCAGACCGCAAGCAAGACAATAGAGTAGTAACTCAGGTAGTTCCAGAAGCTACTACCCGAGTGCGCAGGTTTCTAAAGTAATGCTGTCCCTCAGATGTTTTAGAGGTTTACATATCTAGCAGACCCTAATATTGATGTGTTTACCATCCATGAACCCTACGCTTCGAGGGTAGTCGTACCTCTCCTGGGTTTTTCTCGCCACCTCTTCCAACATCTCAAGCGTCAAAGGAGGGAATGCGTCGTTATGCAGTCCTGAACCAGACGCTTTAAGTTTGATTTTGATTGTGTCTTGATGTTCTACCGCTTATAATAGCTTCAGTTACTTCCTCCACCACCTGTGAGACCGTTTCTATCCCAAGCCCCATATCCAAAGCGAAGGCCGAGAATGACATGCCTTGGGTGACGATTCTTTAACACTGCAACTTAGTATATGCACACTTTGTTAGCTGCCATCTATCACCTCAGATAAATCATGAGCCGATGGCGCCCGACAATGGGTCCAGCATGGCAAAGGGCGTGCTCAAGTCTGCTTCCAATTTTCTCGTACAGGTCCTCGAACTCATTCGGCAAAAGCCGAATGAACTGGAGGAACCCTTCGGGTCTGCGTGTGACTAGGTACTCGTCAAAAAGACGGAAGCGAGTAGAAAGAAATGGACGGTGTTCTTGTCGCACGTATTCCCTAGTGGAGGAAGATAACTCGCTAAGGGCACCTGCCAAATTCTCCAGCGCTTGATGTAGATTCAAATATTGCTGATGTGTCATGCTGCAACCTTCAGATAAAAAATTTCTGCGTGTTCAATAAAATGCTTCTGTCATCTTGAAAAGCTGTTCATCATGTTATTTCGGTATGGAAGGAAGTGTACATACACAAGTTATTATTGAATGTTAGTCATTTGAGTTGTGAGAATCAAACTTCAATGGCGTTTATTCAACAAAACCTTCATAAAATACAACAAAACTTCTGAGCACAACACATAATTTTGAGGAGGAAAGACTTCAGTGTTTTGGAGACTATGCAAAGCAGGAAATTATTACCGAACGTTAGTCATTTGAGTTGTGAGAAGAAAACTTCAATGGTGTTTATTCAACAATATCTTCATAGAATACAACCAAACTTCTGAGCTCTTCATGAAAACAACAACAACGCATAATTTTGAGGAGGAAAGACTTCAGTGTTTTGGAGACTATGCAAGGCAGGTAGAATCAGAATAAAATGATTAAAGTAATGAACTCCTAGCGACTGCAATACAACAACGATATGAGGACCATGCAATCATATTCAAAGTACTCTTCAAAAGTGTCCATATGCTATGAAAACGGTACAAAAACAGCAGTGGGCGGTTCTACGAGACCAAAGTAATATCAAGCTTACGACCATTCATTAGGCGAACCCTGAAGCGTAGTGTCATCCTTCAGCAGAACTGTTATAAGTGATTGAATTTTTGCATGTGCCTTTCGTTCTGTCATCCCTGATAGCGTATCGGAAACAAAATCTCCTAGAAGTACTCAAATAGTTATATAGTGTAAATCAGTGCTTAAAACACTCACCGATATGCCTGTATTTGTTAGTTGGTGAACTGATCGCCTCCAAATGACTTTTCACTGCATCCGCAGCTTCTTGCACAGCGGATATGCCTAAATGCTAAGAAATAGATTCAAGTGAGCAAATATTTATACTTTACCTTCTTCAAGACGGGCCTTTTTGGTCGTTTTGGTTTTCTCGACCACTTGTCTCTTCCCTAAACTTCCCACGTTTCTTGCCGGTGTCACCCCCAGAAGAGTTCGCGACGTTGTTACTTCTTCGAAGTGCTCTGGCGGCGGTGGATCTGGACAAAACTTGATAACTTTTGCAGGAACTTCGAAGATAGCTGTTCCAACCGTTTTCATCATTGAGGATATCGATATCGTCATCTTCATCGCTATAGTGGAGATTGGAAAAACGGACTCTAAAAAGAAACATTGCTCTACTCTGAAGTTAAAAGATAGAAACGTACCCTTTTACATCGGCTGTCTCCAGATATCTTAGTCTTCTCACTATTCCACTTGATTCTGACGCTGATGATCCACTGTGTGAGATTTTGTATCGCCTATACGCGTCGCGCATTAGCTTCCACGTGTTCTTCACATAGGCAACTGAAATATTGCTCACAGCCTGCAACTCCGTTATGCATTCGAAGTCAGTACTTACGGTCGTAGGTATATCCGAGCTGTATTAATTTGTTCATGATACGATCCCATGCGTCCGCCTTTTTGTCTCTCATGTGATAATCATCGCGGGTGCGATCCCAGAGACATGGCTCGTCTTCCACAAGAGAAGCGAGAGTCTCGCGAAATTTAACGGGCATTTTCCTAAATCAAGCATTCATGTTGTTATAGATGGGATGGTGTATTACAAATTGAGCGGAAGGGAAACAAAACACCTTTGCATGGATCTGAACACAAAGCAACGATTGCTAGAAGAACGAGTTTGTGAATAACTCGTTGATATCAGCTAGCTCCAGCTTCGTAGAGAAAGATTGACCAAAAGGGAACCTCCTTTGATAACAAATTACATCACGCAACATAGTATAACAGAAACAAGAACGGAAGCCTAGTCAAACAAATTATATTTACATAGGAGCTGCTTACACAACAACATAGAAGAGAAGAGCAAAGGAACAGGGATAAAAGGATAAAAAAAAGCTGCGAGCATCCCGTTAGTGCTTATAAGTCAATCCTACGCGCCTCGCGGACAAAATCTGACCCGATGCGCTTTGGCTGCAATAGCGGCAACCGGCGCGAAAGCAGCTACCGGCTGCAAAAGCGACAACCGGCGCGGTACTGGCGCGGTCTGGAGGCTCCCTTAGGGTGGGACACTGCGCACTCTAAGGGCCGCATGCACTAACCTCTCCGCTGGGGAGGGGATCGCAGCTTGAAAGAAAGCTTTATATTTCGAAACTCCAGATACCTGGATTTCACATTGTGTACCTATCCGTCAGTATTCTTACTACCCTTCACTATGAACATGTTGAACAGGAGCGAGAAGCTGTACGAACCGCATTTTCCAGCTTTTGTATGATCCCTGATGATCCCCGACGCTTTTCTTTAGAGTCATTTTTCTTTCTGTGAAGTTAACGAAAACCTTCCAAAGTTGTACTGAACATCTGATACAACAGTATTAAGCATGTTGCTGATGAGAACAAATAAGTTTTCGAAAAGTCGAATTTTTTGGTAAACCTCAAATTTTGACCCTGTGGATCATCGAAAATTTCTTGACTTCAAAACATCATTTGTTCTTATCAGCAACATGCACTGTCGGTTTAGATAACCTGCACAACTTTGGAGGTTTTTCGTTAACTTCGGAGAAAGAAAAATGACTTTAAAGAAAAGCGCCGAGGATCATCAGGGATCATACTAAAGCTAGAAAATGCGGTTAGTACAGCTTCTTGCTTCTCTTCAACATGTTCATAGTGAAGGGTAGTAGGAATACTTACGAATAGGTACACAACGTGAAATCCAGATATCTGGAGTTTCGAAATATAAAGCTTTCTTTCAAGCTGAGATCCCCTCCTGGTGGGGATGTTAGTGCATGCGGCCCTAAGGGTCGCATGCACTAACATCCCCGCGGGAGGGTACCACAGCTTAAAAAAGCTTCATATCCTGAAGCTCCAGATATCTGGATTTCACGTTGTGTACGTAACCGTAAGTATTCCTACTATCCTTCACTATGAACACATTGAACAGCAGCGAGAAGCTGTACAAGCCGCAATTTCCAGCGTTTGTATGATCCCTGATGATCCCCGCCGCTTTTCTTTAAAGTCATTTTTCTTTCTCCAAAGTCAACGAAAAGCTTCCAGGGTTGTGCAGATTATCTAGCCCAACACTGCTTAGCATATTGCTGATAAGAACAAGCGACGTATCGGAGTTATCAAATTTGCGATGGACCACAAGTCGAAAATTGGGGTCTACCGAAAAAATCGATTTTTCAAAAACTTATTTGTTCTCATCAGTAACATGTAAGCACTGTTTTGTTAATCAGCACAGCGTTGGAAGATTTTCGTTAACTTCAAAGAAAGAAAAATGACTTGGATGAAAAGCGCCGAGGATCATCAGGGACCATGCAAAAGCTGGAAAATGCGGCTTGTACAGCTTCTCGCTCCTGTTCAATATGTTCATGGTGAAGGGTAGTAGGAATACTTGCGGACAGGTAGATAGCGTGAAATCTGGATATCTGGAGCTTCAGAATATGAAGCTTTCTTCTGAGCTGCAATCCCTTCCCCAGCGGGGATGTTAGTGCATGCGGCCCTAAGACTGATAAATACTGCGATTTCTCTCAAACTCGCGTGTCTCGCGAAGAAAAAAACGAGCGTTAGAAAGAGAGAAAGAGTTGAATTGAATAGTATCTGGTTCCAAATTTTATGTTTTATGAGTCAGACTAGGCTTAATATAAATTTTGGCTACTTCGAAAATATAGTATATAGAAATGCTGAAAGACAAGCCACAAAGCTACAAAAAGTTGTTTCAGTTGGCAATAAGTTTGCCGTATCTTGTAACTATCGAAGCTCCCCAAAAGTTTCAAATAGAATCTTGAAAATTAGCAGAATTTGGACGTGGTGAAAACGACGCGTTGTAGTTTCTAGCGAATACCTCGGCATTATCTCAAGAATCATAGTGGGTTAAAGCAGCCAAAAAGAGGAAGAAATTCTGCATTGAAGAGTTTGCTTATATTCAGTATGAAATTCGCGGATAAATTCAAAAACCGATTTGTACCTTTATTACCTGTTATATCAGGACGGCCCGAAAGTTCGTGTTGTTTTTCCAACTCATGCTGAGACCATCCATAAACCGCGTTCAATGCACAATTTCTTCCTTTTTCTAATTTTACGTTTTTGTTTAGATTCCTTTGATGTCCGCTCAAATAATTGTCAGAACCTTTAGTCCGAGATTTTCACCCATCCTGAATTTGGCTATTTTCTAAAATTTCCATAATCAACCTTTGGATTAGCCTTGATAGCGGATGGGTAGACTAAACAAAATGCAATACAATGAACTATTTTAGTCTTTTCTAGCTTTTCTGTATGTCTTGAAATGATTTTTGCAAAGCCTACTTTCGCTAAGTTGGATACACAACCGCTCCAGACACTAATAAATTTATGGAACTCGAAGCTTTCAGAACTCCTTATTACTAAGCGCTGATTTTAGCAAAACTGAGCGTCTGGCGGTTCGAAATATTGGATCCCGAGTTCTGGACAGCCTGGAACGAGTCTGGAAACAAGAATTATAGTCCATCAAAAATGGGAGAAAAAGTTGCAATGAATGACACCCTGGTGGCTCGCCGTTTATTGTTTTATACGGAATTTGATACATCAGAAAAATATATTCAAAAATTTTGAGAAGCCCCAGCTAGAGACGACAAAAGAACGTATTGTATTGCATTTTGTTCATTCTATCCAAGTGCTATCAAAGCTACTCCAAAACTTGAAAATGGAAATTTCAAAAATTAGAACTTATGTTAGGATGATTAATGCATAGGTGTGAGATTTTGACAATTATTTGATCGATGTCAAAAGAACCTGAACAGAAACATAGCTTTGAAAAGAGTAAAATATTGTGCAAACGAAACATGTTCAGGAGTTGTCTATCAGTATTCTAAATGGTTTGCGCATGGGCCTGAAAAGCGGCACGAACTTTCAGACCGACTTCATGTACTACTAGTGATAAGCGGTAAAATATCACTCAGATCTGAAAATATTAGGTTGTCCCGAAAGTTTTGTCGGTTTTTATGAAACCACTATAAAACCACGCGCAACAAAAACCTATAAGAGCTTCAAAATGCTTTCGATGCAGCTTTTCTCCTCTTTCTTACGGATACTTTTTCGAACCACAATCTTGTATGTTTTTCTTGATAATTGCCAATATTCTCTACCCGTCAATTTTATCTGGTTAACGTTGGGCTAATTTTTAAAAATTCCATTTCAAAGTTTCGAAAACGGTTAACTACAGATAAAATAGGAGAGTTCTCGGACTACAAGGCATTATTTTTAAATTCTCCTAATCTGCTGTCTTTAGCTTTGAAAAATTATAATTTCGGTGGTCCAAATTTTTGGCAAAGCCACGAAACACGCAAGTGCAGCAAAAACATGAAAGCTTCCGAAGTTTCTGCGAATTGAAACATGATTTTCATCAAACATTATTTATGCAACATGACCAAGTTCAATTTGCTTTGAGAAAGCAGGGTCGGTAGTAATCTGGTCGAAACTCCGAGTTTAAAGCTGCGCGTTAACCCAGAGTTAACTCTAAGTTTCGTTCTGAAAACTTGCGAAGACGCTATAGTTGTTGAGAGGCTACCACAGGCTTCATCGCAAAACACAGTTACTGGTTCCGGGAGTCGAACTTCCCTTGCTCAGCGCCAAGTCACTATCACACCACTAGGCCACGAAGCACCCTAGCAGCATAGCCATTTTGCAGCCATAAGTACTCGTAGCTTACATCCAACGTGTTCAGGCACGCCGAGGGATGGTGCCTCTTCGCTCTAAACAGTGGATTCACTAAAATACCTATACGTCAGTGGCGTATCGAGGCCCCCCCCCCGAGAATGGGTCGCGAAATTTTGAAAGTTACTTAGATGTGTTATAAAAATGCGAAAGCGACTTGTTTTCAAATAAATGTTTGCAAATAATCAAAATAACTCCTGAAAATTTTTCATTTAAAACTAGCCTTGTAAAAAAATTTGGAGGCATGGCGGCAGCCACGCCCCCTTTTCCTAAAATTTTGGCCAGGGGCCCGAAAGTTTTGGAAAGCATCCCAAAAAAATTTTCGCGCGTGGCTAACGCCACGCACTTTCATCCGAAAATTTTTTGTCACCTTCCCCCCGAGCGAAAATCCTGGGTTTGCCACTGCTATACGTACTCCTCCCTCCCTTCTCAACCCCCGATTACGATATCTTCTTCTATTCAAAATGTCCCAACCATAGAAGAATTGATTATCCCAGCTGCACTCCTAAATAGAGCTACCAGAGATGACTGCTTTATTGACAAAACATAATTTGATTATCAAAATTCAGCTAAAATCTCAAGAACTCAAACATATATAAAATGTAACAACCAAATGTGATAAGAAACACATTATGGAATCATCATCTACATGCTTCTCTCATTTTGATAATACTATCGGCTGGCTGATGAGTGTTCTTTTATTTGAATATTCCGTTCATTCGACAACTCGGAAGAATAGATTATTCGAACGAAAATGCTAGGAATTTCAAAGAAAGTCATTCGACTATACGAATACGAGAGTTTCGAAAATCCTTGTTCGAATATTTAATCGATTATTGCGATTAAATAGTCGAATACTGTACGCGAGTATT